AAAAAAACCCTCTTCAGACAAAGCTCAATAACGACTAAACTTTTGTCATGTCAAAAAGGTAGGGCCTCTCACTTGCCATGCCAAAGCAGAAATACGCTCGTATGAAAAGTAATAATTTCTTGAATTATTTACATGTTATAAGTGAGTGTCATTCAGCACTGCTATTTTAGTTTAGTTTATAAGTTAAGTGGATACATGTTCTAAACAGTAAGAGAAGCAATAGGAAATAACTCATGGGAGTTGAGTACAGCTGTGTTATTAAAAAAAAAAAAAAAAGTATTTCATCTGTTTTATGTGCCAGGATCTTGAGACATTTTCTAAGACCTCTTTGTAAACAAACCACTATTTAATTTTCTTCCAAAGGGCTTTCCCTTACTATAATTTTTTTTTCCCCCCATATCTTTGTGAAGCAATAATAAAACATAGCATACAGGCTGTGTGTTAGTTGTGTTAATTACAGTTTTATTACTTAGCATAATGATATTAAAACAGTGGAAACATAGGGGAATGGATTAGATGTGGTCTCTGGCTCACATTCCAACTTTCTGAAACTGGTGTGGGCTCAAAGTTTTTCAGACTCCAGAGGAATTATTCGCATTTGCCTTGGTACAAATAGATTAACCTGCAAGATAGCTTACTGATAGCTCTGACTATCTGAGACCAAATAATGGATGGCCTTGTAAATTCAATACGTACATGATTACATCTGTCTCAGACTCTGGAATGTGCTTCTGTGAACTCATGGATTTTGGAGGATTGTGATAACTATTTCAAGAAAACCTCTTCAAACTGGGAAAACAACATGGGAAATGACTGGGAAAATGACATGCTTAATTTCTTCTTTTTGTCTTTAAGAAGCTTGTTTCCATTAGTATCTCTTTAGACTATATTGATTTCTCTGTGTACAGAAAATTCCCAAACACATGAGTCTTGCCGTTTCTCTCACTTTAAAATTCAGATGTTGCTTATGCAGTTCTTCATTGGGATGCCTTAAATTGCTCTTACATATATGTGTATATATACAAATATATATACATGTATACATATATATGTAACTACTACATATTCTACCACATGTTAAGAGATTTTTTTGATTATTTCAAATTAAAACCTTAAGGAAAAAAGCATGAGATGGATATTATTTGGGATTCTAATATAAGCAGCTGTTTATTTATTTATTTATTAGGCCCTTATGAAACAAAATAGATGAATTACTTGCAAATAGAAATGAGTGTGGTATATTAGCATTAATGAGCTAGAAGACCAATTAGAGTCAGGTCCTGAAATCAGCTCTTTCCTGTCTTGCAATGCTGCCTGGCTGTTCTATAAAATGCTAGGAATTCTGTGCCTAAACTTACACTGCCAGTTCCTTGGAAACAAAGAATTACTTAATTTAGGCCTTCTAGGGGAAGAAAATAGGTAGGCATTTTGAGTGTTGCAAAATTAACTTAAAATTTCCCAGAGAGAGTGGGTGAATTGCTATTTTCTGAGTGTACAAGGCCATTAAAAGGAAATGCGATTGCAAGCTTTCCTCTTGTTCAGCCCTGATAAAAAATCTTAATTCAAGAGTCTGAATGGAACAGTATCTTTACTTAAATACAGAGTAAATTTTGTAAAAATGTGTTTGACTATCTATGTCACCATTATAGATGTCTAGTAGATACACAAGCGGTTATGGTGTAAAGGTCAGCTTGGCTTTAGATGAGAACTCTGTTCCTACAGAAAGAGTACAGTCCACATGTTCTACATAGTGTTCTGTATAGAGGATCTCATCTGGATAATGGTTTAGGATGAGCTTTATTTTAATAGGAGATAGATTTGTAGAATGTCTGAACTTTAGATGTATCTAGGTAATGTAAATCTTTTAAATGTAGCAGGTGAGGTTCAACTTCTTCACTGAAGAACAAGCTTAGGAGCAGAAAGATTACAGATAAATTCAGAGTGGTAAGTGAGACAGTTCAAAGCTACTGTCAAGAGTACTTGCAGACGAAATGGTTTTGTCAAAAATCGTGAATATAAATTCTGCTGCTCCTGCTTGCATTATGTTCAGCATTTCTCTTACTATTTTCAAGAGTTCATCTCACCTTCATTTAATGGAAGAATATTCTCCTGTTTATTCTCATGAGGATATGTATTCATCAGGTGAGAATTAAGGTGACAGCAAGGTGCAGTACTTATGAAAGGATAAGGCTCAAACATTTTATTACTTTAGAACCAAAACCTCATTTCTTGCAAGAAACTTCACATAAAAAACAATACTGCTAGTAAATGAGCTTTTACAAAGGCCAGAAGTAAGCCCCAAATCATAGCAATCCTCTCCAGTCTATGTTATTCTGTAGGCCATCTGGTCTTGCCCAAAGCAGGGTCAGCTACAGAGGTAAATTAGGTTGCTTGGTGTTGCATCTTGTTCAGTTTTGACCGTCTCCAAGAACAGAAATTTCGTAGCCTTTCTGAGTAACCAGCCTGTTCAATACAAGCTGCTGGCTTCCTATTATGCTAGTGAAACTTCCAGCAGCCTGGAAAACAGGCTTATCTTTTTCTCTCTGGGAATTTCCTTCCAGTTTTATCTGCAGAAGATAATACAAAAAATTCTTATGCTCCAGTCAGGACACAGTGAATAAAGTGCCTGTAGTTCCAGCCTGTCCTGACTGAAAAAATACATTTAGCCATTTTTTATTTGGAAGCAGCAGGGTTAAGAGAGGCCATGGTACTGTTAGATGAAAGGATGTACAAAATGCCAAAAAACAATATTCTCCTGAGACACCTGATGACTTACTTAAAGTAGTTGCCATTCTTTCCATCAGTGCAGGAATTCACCTGACTGCTCGCTGTTATGAAATCGCCCCTCTGCCTGATGATGCTTCAGATTCCATGAGAAATCCGAACAGAAAGGCCTGGTGCAGCTCCTGGTCTAAGTAAGTTTTCAAAGACTTTCTTCACTTATTACTGTTGGCAGTAACTCTCATCAGCCCGGTTCTGTGGTAGTGTGTATCTATCTTAGTAGTCTTCACAGGTACCCCCTGCTCATTTCTTTTAACAATCTTCCACAAGTTGCGTAGGTTTTGCCTTTCTGTAAGTTAAGTGCAAGGTGTAGTGAAATTCTGGCTTTATCGTTCTTTTGGGGATGCCATCTCCCTCTCTGAGGAAAGCTCTTCAACACTGTTTTGAAGAGATTTGTTCCTGTGTCCTAGAAACAGATTATAGCTGCTGGTCCTCTTCACCTACATTATGAAACAAATCTAAAAATACTGGTCTCTACTTTGTAGCCTTTGGGGCAAATGGTAACCAACTGCATGGCAGTACCATATCTCCCTTTGCACCTCTTGATACATTGGCAGTGCAGTATTATCTATGGTAATTGTACAGTGCCACAAAAGTAGGGTTAGGCCTAGTTACAAAATACATGTGGAATTTAGATTACATTTTATGCATCATCAAGAACTGAAATGGGATGCTTTGACTGACAATGAACCCCAGAAACCTGAGATTAAGTGGTTCAGATTGACAATGAACTGTGTATTTCAGAAGAATGCTCTGGTATGTGGAACTACGTCTTGGTCACTTCTCCAAACCATCCCCCATAGTCAGTATGTGCCTGTACTTGAGCGTAACATATCTGTATCTTGTACTAGTAAAATGATGACAGTAACAGATAGGAGGGGTGAAAAATAAAACGCTAACCTCCAGAACACACAAAAAAGCCATGTTTCTTGTACTCCCACTTGAAAAGCAACACTTCTAAGAATGAGCCATGAACAATTAGTTACAAAATAGACTGTGACCGTATCAGTATCTACCCAGAAATCTCCTACACTCCTGGCATAGATTATCAGCAAAATATGGAGTTTACAGGGCAGCCTGCTGTGCCAACAAAATCATTGACAAACTAATTTGAACAAATTATCTTCATGTATCCTCTCTGTAAGAAGCCAGAAAAAACAGCTGGGAAACAATTGTTTTAATAAATTGTATTGAAACAGAGAATGGTTTCACCTGTGATCACAGCTGATGATGGCTCTAACTTAAAAAAAAAATACTGGAAGAAAATAAAACTAGCATTAGATTTTACTACTGACTTTTTGAACAGAAGCAGCAAAATGTAGTGATAGGAAGGAGTAGTATAGAGAAGCTGACTAGCCTGATGTGCTAACAATATTTTGATTTCTTCCAGCATTTATTTCCACCTGCCCTAAGGAGCTTCACATTTTGTCTCACAAATTTAAACTGAACAGGCTGTAGCATTATAAAATATTTTTAATCTTTTTGCTAACTTATAATTAAGTTATAGTTTGTAGAAAGATAGGGGCTGCACTCAAAAATCAGTTTATGAGGAAACAGTTGAAATGATAATGTGTACTTCATTTATTACAAGTTTAAACTAGATTTTAGTTAAATATTTGGATGAGCAAAACTAAAATGTGAGGCTAAGAAACTTTCTTTCAAAGGGATGACCAACTATCTTTCCATAATCTCGTAATAACAAAGATATACTTAAACTGATGATGTGATCCATAGTTTTACAGGTTAAATGTGAAAATATGCAACTCCATCTCATTTCACCAATCAGCACTTCTCCCATTTGTCTAGCCTCACTTTTCTTATCAAGATCTATCAATAGGTAAGCTAACACTAAGCTACGTGAAAAGATATTTTTGTATCCTTCATTTAAGCTTTTTCAGGCTTGCACTGAAAAAGTTTGAAGAAATTTCCCATCTCCTGTAACTAGTGATGTAAAGATGACATGACAGCCACGTCATCAACCAAGCAGTTGAGCAGTCATCTCTATCAACACTACATTCATTCTCTCCAAAAAAAAAAAACAAAAACAGCTGTATCACAGCATCCCCCAAGCTTTTACTACCTCTGACACCTAAAGCAGACAAACCCATTCCAAAAAAAATTGTTTATATTTCAAAATTGCACATTTCAAAATTACTCATGTATTGAGAAGTTTTGCAAGTTCCACACTTGTGAACACAACAGAAAAGATCCGATCCAAGTAAGTTTTAAGCATATTTTATTAACTTCAAGTAATTGCCACTTCCCAGCATTCTCCACGCAGCGTTACAATCTGACACACACTGTAGAAGATTGCTCTATCCCCAGTAGTCTCACAAACTGGTCTGCCTTCTTTATACGGGTCATTATACATATAAAGGTTCTTCAGAGGTTTAATGCCACTTACCCTATGTATGGAGATAAAGTATTATTAAAGATATTTTACAGAATATTATATTCTAGCTATCAAAGGCTCTTAAACAGATTTTAATTTCTTACTTAAAGCAGTATATACCATGGTAATAAAAAGACAATCTAACTGCATATTTAATTTGTTGCAGCACAAAAGAAAAAAAAAGACAGGGCATTTCATCTCCCAAGGAATCTGAGTTAAATCAATTTGAGTTAAATCCAAAGAACTAGTATTTTGTTTTTCTCTAGATGTGTGGTAAACTAAACATATTAAAATAGGTGAAGTCCCTTGTTGCCACGAGGGCACAGTAAGTTGTTAGCACAGTAGATTTAACCAGACTTTTAGTAGGCAGGACCTCAGGTAAAGATACAAATTGTATCTTCACACATAGGAGGAAAAGATGAACTATCCTCCCTTCTTAGATCAGCTGAAGAATAGTGTAATAAGAAAGCCTTGTTGTTCTGTTTGTACAAAGCTGCAGCCACAGGAATTCAGTTGACTGCTGTGGCAACCAGCAGCTTCTCTGCTGTCCTCAAAGACCTGAGCCTACAAGGACAGGTGTTGCCTAAAACTGCAGAGGTTCCTTAACCTTGTCAGGAAGTTTTTGATTCTAAAGGCTTTGAAGTTAGAATTAAGGTCTTCTGCTGTTGTCAGCATACATGCTTGAAACTGATACTGGATGAAGGACTGAAATCCACTTGTTTTTAATAATGCCTGTCAGCTAATCTCTGCATCAACAATGTAGTTTGACAGAATTAATGAACCTGCTGAAGCTAAAGAAAAAAGTACATCACCTGCTCAGCTATTTGCTAGCTACAAGCAAATGGCAGGCTTTCCTAAATGACAGGTTTTGTAGCCATCATTCTATCATTTTAAGAAATTTGCATTAAACAGTCATGCTTATTTACCTACATTTAATCACAATTACAAATCTCTTCAACCAGAAACAAAACAAGCACAGTAGGCATACAGTAGGTGTGCTTCAGGAATTATCAATACCGCAGCAGCGTTAATCAATTCTAATCGGAATGCTGGAAACCAAAAGATTAGGACAGAACTATATGAAGAGTATTTTTCATATCTTTTATAGGACAGAAACCTTTGTTCATGTCTTCTGGTAGTCATCATCTTCCTTTGAGCTGCACCTACAACACAAAGAACAAGTGAACGAGCAACTTTATGCTTCTCTAGAGTAGCTTAAAACAGTTCTGTAGGCATTAAGGTGCATCTTTCCTACTGCTTTTTGTATCACCAACTCATTTGTTTTATATTCCTAATTTAAGAATAAATTACAAAGCAACATAAAAAAATAAGCTTTTACTACCTGTGTAAAACTGCCCTCAGAAGTGCTGCCTACGTTGTGGAAGTGCAAGTTACTTTCTGCATTTAACTAGCAAGCAACTAGTACTTCATTAAGTGTGAAAGCTGAATTTATTTCTGGTACATAATGAGATACCTTAATAGGTGAAAATAAAGTCTGATTATTTTTTATAAAGAATTCTATAGTAAAAAATTGAGAAGAGACAGGTTGAAGGTTCCAAATAGGCATATAAAACCACCCATCTCCTGCCTGCTTTTGTAGTTAGTTCATTACATCTCCTTGGTGGGGTATTCCCCACCAGCAAAATGACTGCTTTGCCTCATTTTCCATTCCTGCGTGCACTAAGAGTGCATGATTTTTGTCAATGTATACCTAGATGGATAAAAAAAACTTTCTTAATTCAAAGAATTATAAAATATGTGAAACCAGTGGGTTTATCACACCTTTTCAGAATATATTAATAAAAACGTAAAGAGGAACCTCTTAATTTTGTAAAAGAGAACATTAAAACAGCAGTAAGGACCTGAAAAGTTTGATTCTGTTTTCCTCCAGTTGTATAACCAACTCAAATGTTTCAAGCTGTTTTTAACTTGTTGCTAAATGTTTATCTACACATGCTGTCAGAAATAACCTTGTTAGGAAGGTGAAGTTGGTGTCTCAGCAAATCAGACCCCATGGAGTAGGCGTTGAGTGGCCTGTGACTCGCTTTCCTTTTTCTCTTTCAGCACCATCAAAAGGAAAAGTGAGAAAAACAGCACAAACATTAGTTAAAGCCTGAATTTAATCCCACGTCCTACAGGAATAATTTCATTACAATGAAAGCAGACAGACAGTATCTGTAGAGTTTTTTGCTTTCTTTTGTTTTTTAAGCAGTGATAATTATATATCTAATTAATATAGCCTATAGCTCTTCCAAAGATCATAGTTTTTAATAGTCCCTTTAATTAAATGATTAATAGAAAATGCAGGGGTGGTTCTTACAAATTACCTGATTTACCATCACTGAAGACAGATTCTTTTAAAAATGGCTACAAATGCCTTGTTCACAAAAGACTTTATTATCTAATGATGCATACTGAAAACATACAGAAATCTGCATGGTCCACTTTACATGCAGCAGAACAATCTTCACTTTACAATAAGTAAGTGTCAACTGTTTTATGCAAGAGACAACACTTTAAAGTCACATTTCTTAAAGAAAAGCTTCATTTACAAAAGAAATAAAAGGTAAAGAAGCAATTACCGCTTTTAAAAAGCAGCTGCTTTGTTCAAGAGTGGAAGGTTTATGCCTGTATTGAAAGACAACATGATCACAAATAATGAAAACAATGAACAAATGAAACACTTTTAGCATAAAGCAGTACACTTTCAAAATGACATACAAATAGTTAAAAAGTTTCATTATGTTGTCTATCTATCCTTTAGATATAAGGTCTTTTGAATGAGATCCCAACGTATGTAATTACTAAATGAAAACTCTTCTGTAAGTATTGGCTCTATGTCATAGTGAACTGTATTTAACAAAATGTATACAAAGTCTATAGCAAGTTGATTAAAAAAATTAAAGTAATAAGAAACAGTACACTGAAGGCGCTCTATCCATCAAGTGCGCACTCTCAAAATTTTAAATGTGATGAACAGAACGGAAGTTGTAACTATGCCACGGTTGCAATGCCAGAAAATAAAACAAGATCATTTCTCAAACATGCAGGGAATTCTGCCACAATGCTATTGTCTCTCATTTGTCAGTTGTTCCAGTAAAATAACAGCTTAAACACCGGTGATGTTGATGGGTTAGCTTACCTTCAGTGTACTGAAAGTTGTACACAACCTGCTTTAAAAGAGGAGACCATCCCTGCGGGCAGGCTCAAGAAGGAACAGACCCCCTTCGGCACTGACTACACCAAGGGCATGCTGCTGTGGCCTGCACACACACACCTAGGAAAACGTGAATATAAACAGCATTTATGCTGGCCATTTTTTAAAGACAAAAATGAAGCCAAGTCTGCTAAAAACAAATCAACCACCCAGTATTACTGCTTTTTTTTTTTTTTAAACAGATGCTTTTTTCTTTTTTATAATATATACGAACTGCAACCATATACATTAGCATTGTACTTCTGTGCAGTCTTGGCAATTAAAACAGTTCTACAGTGAAAATTCTCACATAAGACACAAAAACAGAATTACTCTAACATTTCTAAAAGAAATATCAGCCTTGATGTTAATTCAAATGCATCTTTTCTTCCTCAACTTTGCAGGGGAAATATTTATGTTTATATACATTAATAACTGTTGTGAAATTTCTTCAGTCTTTGTATCTTAATTACTCAAACCCTTTGAACTTCTTCATCTGGCTTAAATTTTTTCCTGGATGAAGGCGTGCTGCAGAGCCTGGTTGATGCTAATCCGTTTAGCTGGATCTAACATTAGGATCTGGTCCAACAAGTCCTTGAGCTGGTGTACTTTTTTACGCTGGTCTTCAGGGAGTCGCTGGCACCCAATCAAGTCTGCTAACAGGTCCTTGGTTGGATTAATGGTGCTCATTACAGTAACTTTCTCCTACAAACACAAAAGTGGCAACCTTGTAGAAAAGACGTAACACACACAAACCCCATACCTTGTATACAACTTCACCCTGCAAAAACAGTAGCTGCTTATCTTATCTCTCATCAGCAACACCCTTCATCATCATCACATGGCATCCTAAGTATTCAGGGCTGGCAAAGGAAAAGTGGAAGTAAAGCCACTGGGGTAGGCCAAACTGCAGCTTTTGCCAGCGGCAGGTACATACCAGAACCTAATATCCCTGTTGACAGAGAAGGTAAAAATTCCCCTTGGGAAGGAAGTGTCCCCTATCTGACCACTAATTCTGCCGTTCTTAATAAAAACAGCGTGTTAAAATCATAGGAGGCCACTGCTACTTTCTGTGCAACACAGTTGCATTACACTCAAGTCTGACACCCTTCTCCGAAATGAAGGCAGAATTTATTTTATTTAGTAATTAAAGCTTAGGTTATGCGGAGACAGCCTTTCTACCTACAAAGATTAAACTCTCATTTCACAGAATCACATAAAAATTGATGTTGGAAGAAGAGACGGCTGGAGGTCACCTGGTCCAACCCTGCTGCTCAAGCAGGGCCATCTATAGCAGGTTGCCCAGGACCACATCATGACAGCTTTTGAGGATATCCAAGGAAACTCCACAACCTCTTGGGGCAACCTGTGCCAGTGCTCCGTCACCTGCACAGCAAAGAAGTGCTTCCTGATGTTCAGAGAGAACCTCTGGTGTTCCAGTTTGTGCCCATTGCCTCCTGTCCTGCCACTGGGGAACCACTGAACAGAGCCTGGCTCCATCTCCATTGCACCCTCTCTTCAGGTATTTAGATGCATTGATAAGATTCTGTGTCACACCCCTGTGCCTCCTCTTCTCCAGGCTCAGTAATTCCAGTTCTCGTGGCCTTTCCTCACCAGAGAGTTGCTCCAGCCCTTTGATCATCTTTGTGTCCCTACGCTAAACATTTCTCAGCATGTCCAGGTCTCTCTTGTACTGGGGGGTCTCAGGACTGGACACAGTACTTCAGGCACAGCCTCACCAACGCTGAGAAGAGCTAAAGGACGACTCACCTCTCTTGACCTGCTGGTGATATTTTGCCTAATGCAGCCAAGAGTACCGTTAGCCTTCTTACTGCCAAGGGCACATTGCTAACACATTCAGCTTAGCATCCAGCAGGACTCCTAGTCCATTTCTACAGACCTGCTTTCCAACTGGGTGGCCTCCAGCATGTACTGGTGCCTGGAGTTGTTCCTCCCCAGGTGCAGGACTTTGCTGAGCCTCACAAGGTTCTTGCCAGCCCATCTCTCCAGCCTGCTGAGGTCCCTCTGGGTGGCTGCGTGGCCCTCTGGGGTACCAGCCACTCCCTGTGGTTTTGTGCCATCTGCGAATTTGCTGAGGGTGCACTCTACCTCATTATCCAGACCATTAATGAAGAAGCTGAACAGGACTGGACTCAGTACCGACCCACTGGGAGTATTCTGCTCCATCTCAACCTCCAAATGTTTCTCTTAAAACATGTTATTGAATCACAGGAAACTTCTTATTCTACCAGTTTAGAAGCTTCTATTCTACCAGTTTATAATTATGTAACTTGTACGCACTGCTGTGAAAGGACATTCTGGTAGTTTACAAAACATGACTTTTAGTTATCGAGGTATGTTTGAAATACTGTTCTAGTGAACACATTAAGGACTTACCCTTTCCGTCACTTTATCTACTTCTATATACATAAAGTTGAGATTTTGATCAAAGTGCTGATCTTTGAACACACCTTTTCGAATCATCTGAAAAATTAGCGAAAAGCAAGAGCTTTAGGTAAGGTATCTACGCAGTATCAAATCCATAATTAGCATCAACACCTACCAACTGATTGCAACATGAGTAATTTAGCATTTCTGAAATATACAGCAAAAGGACAGTGAGAAATAACTAGACTGAATAAAAAACACAGTTCAAGCCACTTGCAAAAGGAGAGAGCATCTTCCATTGACTTACGTATCTTTTTCAGGTCAGTGCTTAGAAGTTTTCTGCTTTCACTTTATACTTAGTCTATGAAAAAGAAGCTGTACACTTTCACTTCTTAAGATTTTAAATCAATATAAATTATACAGTCAGAGGATGTCTGATATTTACTTGCTGTTAAGAGAAGATGTATATGATAAGAAGCAGAATTCAGGCAGGAAATAGAAAATATGTTCTGCTGTTCATAACAGCAGTTTTAGATATTAATTAAGAGTCATATACTTATTTTCCGTACCTTGTTTGGCATCTTTCCTTTGAGATCCATGGCTAGTTTCAACATGTGGTTATTGGTTTTGCCAGGAAAGAGGATTTTTCCTGTATAAAGTTCATACAATGTGCAGCCTACAGACCACATATCTATACCATAGTCATAGATTTTTCCTATAACTGAAACAGACCAATGTAAGTTAATTCCATAAAAGCAGCTTTAAGGATATAATAGCAGACAGATGAAAAAAGTATCTGGTTTGGAAACAATATTGGTGCTTCTCCTCTTAGGAATAAGAACCTTAATTATCATAAATGCAGGATGCAAGCCTTTTCATTATGCTTCCCAATTTTAGAAAGACAGGCTTTTACCTTACACCCAAACTAATCACTATACCTTAAGTCAGTCAAAAACCGCTAAGTCCAAACAGTACCTCTGAATTAAAACAGAACTACAACAAATCAGAATGACTTCTCCCTGTCCTCACTGAGCTGACCACCAACACATACGAAGAGTCACATATGCTTTCAAGTCTGAATTTTTTGACTGCCATCATACTTCCAGAGTGGTGTTTTGCTCAGACCAAGCAGAAAGTAAACTCAAGTCAAATTCTCATTTCCTACTACTGGTATATACTACTGCTGCTTAAAATAAGTGTAACCAATCCAAATTTACTTACTGATTTCGGGAGCTCGGTAAAATCTACTAACTAGATATGGCGTGATATCGTTATCTGCGACATGTGAAGCTGATCCAAAATCACAAAGCTTTAATATCGTTTTAGACTCATTCACCTGAAAAGTTAGACATAAATACATGTTAGCACTAGTTGTAGACAAAGTTGGCAACAGTACCGTGAAAGTAACAATACATTTAAGTCAGAGATAAGAAAAACATTCAGCCTTTAAATTGCAGTTTCTTCCTGTATTTCAATCTTTCTTCTCTGTATTCTAAGGAAACCATCAAACCTTCTTAAACCAAAAGTGACAGTTAATGTCTTCAGATCCTAAGAAACATTAAAAAGGTCAGTTTCATATATTTTTTCTCTTACCATGTTGCTTTTTTTTCCAAAGTTACTTCATTATTTCTGCATCAATTTTGTGTATTTACACATTACTTAGCAGCTTCCATCTGTAAAATGATCAAAAACTAAACAGAAAATATTCCCAATTTTTTTTGTCTGCTTGTTTTAAGACTTCTTCACAGAGCACACTAATAGTGACATCTGCTGAGAGAGTCAGAAATAAACTCTCATAGCTTTGGACAATCATGGCATGACACTGAATGGCATGCGAAGGATTACTGAGTGAACATCACTTAAATTAGCAACTATTTAAGAAATAATGCAAAGAACAATAAAATCCCACATACCATTATCGCAGTACTTTCTAAATAGTTATTAAATAAGGTACATCATTTGCCACAGTGCCCAGACAACTCTCCCAAGGTATTAGGGCACCAGCTTCACTTCACTTCATCTGAACTGTACAAAAGTTATTTGAAAAGGTAATCCCTCAATAATCCTCTAAATATTATTCATGTTCCTAGAGAATTAAAGTTAGCATCTTCTGAACAGGCAGACAATATCCTACTTAAGATCAGCCCAGGATGCAAAGGCATGTCAATCACTAAGGAGGTAAGCAAGACACTTCTGCAGTGCGACTTGAGACAAGACACGCCACATGAAGGGCAATCAAAAGTTGTTTAAAAACCTGAATGTGCTTAATTGCACCACCCTATCCCTAATGAACGCAACATGCACATTAAGCTGGTTACAAGAGAAACATCTTTCTAAACTCTGTAGTCATTAGTGAACAAATCACTTGTTATGTATTTATTTATTTATATATATATATATATATGGATATTTATCTCCATTTTTTTCCCAGGTAATTCCATATTGGAGTTTAAATAATAAGAAATAGACTATTTATTTGGGTCACCTTACTTAATCAATCCTTTATTATTACCTACATGAAAGCAAGTCTTCTGGGTATCAAAAGTTTAGTTTTGAAATGGCAATGCACACAATGGAAATCCCTTTTTCCCTGACAGATTCCCAATTAAGCCATACCAAAGGAGTATTAGAACTTCCTAATATAAATATAAATGCAATGAAATGAAAAATAGTACACTTCAGAACAGAATGCATACATTTTTAAGATACAGAGAGAACCCCATAGAAATTGAACGTGTAGTCGTAGGAAACAATTTTTATATGTAAAATTGTCAAGGCCAGCATGTTATTCAGGTAAGTACTACTATTTTCCATAACAATGGGTACACTTATTATTAAAACAAATGCAGTCATATTCCTTGCTGCCTAATCATCACATTCAAGTATCTACTCGGTAAAGTCAGCCACTATATTAGTATTTAAATCTGTTAAACATTATTTCACAGCTGGTGATAAAAAAAGCTTTCTGGAAATGACTACAAATGCTCAGTAAGGTGTCAGGAGGCCACCAACGACATGCAGTTATCCCATTCTCCACAAAGTATGGAAAAATATTGCTGGCCATGGATTTAATTCTAGATAATCCAATTGTAACAGTTCAGACTTCCACCTCTGGTATCCAGAGCACCATTCATAAAACAGAGTGCTGTTCGCATATCTCACGTTCAATCAGTAAACTTTACTGCAGAGATGGCAAGAACTGACCATTTTAAATAAAATAAAATTCTGTGTTTGTCACATGGGTGACCAACGAGAAAATTAAAGTCAACACACTTGATTCTTCTGATGTACCTGTTACACTGCTAACCACAATGTTTAATAGGAAAAAAAGAAGAGGACATGAAAGACTTTTCCCAATCATCTCATTCACACGAACAGAAGAATCTACTTCCAAGCTTAACCAAATTATTTTGATTTTGCAGAAAGCAAGAACACTTAACTACTGATGAAAGAAGTCCCAAGATTTTTCCTAAGAAAGGATGCTGTCTTTGGAAGATCTACTTTCTAAAAAGATACAATGAATGCAGGTTAGTTTGAGAAAGATTGCCTGAAAGATGTTATTTAGATGCTGCATTATACTTCTTACTAACTTATTTATACCATGATAGCATTTCATTTCAAAGCATAACAATTTATTTCAAAAGGTTTTCTTAACCTTTTCAGGTGAAGTAAATTTTTACTTAACCCAAATGAACAAAATGGTATTCATTTCACATCTTGATTTTATACTGTCCGTGTAAAATAGGTTTTGATTACGCATTACTTACCAAAATATTATCTGGTTTAATATCTGCATGTAGGATATTGCATCTTTTAAGAAGTTTTAAAGCCAGGAACAACTGTTGGCTGTAGGAACGCACAGCTTTAATATGGAGACCAACATCTTTCCCATACTTTTTCAACACCTCTCGTAAATTCATACTATTGTAAGAAAGAGAAAGAACAGTAAAGAACTTAGCAAGGAAAATATACTTGCCTTCAAAATCTAAGATGACGAACATGAAGAAGCTAGTTAACTTCAGACATTTTTGGGGAAAGTTACATTCAACTTCAGATATATACCTTGCTATTTTCTACAGCAATAAACTAAGATGCTGAGCAATCAGATCCATCCTGTACTGCGTAATTTCTACTTACTAGACTGGACTGACATCACTTCAGAATATATTTTTAATCCAGATTAATTTGAGAGGATTACTTTGCACATGAACAGCATTTTCTTAACAACTGTACTGCCCCTGTACCGAGTTTCTTGAGAAATGAATGAAAACGAAAATATGCAAGAGATAGAAGTTGATGACGCAGTGTTTTGATGATGAACAGCACATAAAAAGAGCACTATTCCTGGACAAAGCCATCACTGGATTGAAACACTGTACAAGTGTGCTACGAAGAAACAGTACATCACAAGATAGTAGTTTGCCACATGGCTTATTAATGAAAAAAAGTAGACGTTTCAATAAACTTGTATTGCTTCAGCAAATGACTCATCTTCACCTCAAATATCTATAGCAAGAATTAAAATATGACAGAAAAATAATGGATACAAACAATATCGAAGTAAAAATGGGAATTACTGCATGTATATCTATGAAAAAAGAGTGTTTACAATCAACCTGTCAAAGAAGCCTAATTATTTGAAGAAGTGAGCATGCGAACCACTTATTTTCTTTCTTGGGTTGTTGTATATGCATTCTTCATAGAACATACATATACTCAACCTCTCCGGCAATGCATTTTCAACCCAAATTTGTAAAGAATTAGTCAAAAATTTGTCTTAGCTTTCATAAAAAGCAGTTAAGAGGAGCACCGGCGAGATGAACCATCTTTAATAATGCATTATTCTGTTTCAAATATTGACCAGGCATAAAGTTCACAATGACACTATGTAAACCTGAACTAGTTCAGCAGACTGTGAGTGTGTGCCTCCAGATTATGGTTCTTAGTGTTCTTCAATGTTGGCAATAGAACAAGGTGTCAAAATTAGAACAATAGCCAAGTTAAAGATCACTTAGTACTACCTCACTTTTACAGAGAACCCCACCCATTTGTCACCTTACCTCAGTGGCTCAAATACCAGACAGAGATGTTGTTTGTGGTAGAAGTGCCTGAACAACCTTAGACAATGAAACTTGTCATCAGGATCTGCATCATTGAGCTTCTTCAAAAATTCCAGTTCTTTTAGGCCAGTTTTTTGCCTGAAAACAAAAAATCAGAATTAGAAAACGAAATGAGATTCTAGTACCTTGCTTAATCTACAGATTTACTTGCATTGTTTTAATGGGCAGAAAATGAGAAGCGTCTCGTGATTACATAATGTAGCACTGCTTAAAAACAACAGCAGTGGTTTGCTGTCATTGTCTACCCATTCAATTCTTTGATCACCCGTGACTTTTTAACCTACTTATCCTTTCCTCTGCCCTCCTAGTTGTGTCCTGTAATATGACACTATTTCAAACAAAAACTACTTAACTACATACACTATTTAAAAAGTTTTAAACTAAACTGACTACACTCAAGTACATACACAAACCGAATTACCTTAACATACCAAACAAATAGCTTATTACCTTTTTTCTTAAACATTTCTAGATAGTATTCATATAGCTCAAAATACCCCAGTTATACAGACAGCAAGACAACTTTTAAAACTTCCAACATAAAATGCATAAAAAGTGGAAAAGATTTTCATTTAAGTTGCTCATAATGGAAGAAGACAACACATGATCACAACAATACTGTAGCAGATGCTGAAAGTGACTATTAGAGACAAGTCTTCATATAACATAATGCAGTTTAATTCATCACCCTAGTTAATGTTCACTCATTCTAAAAGACCTCCAGTAATTTTTGTCCTACAGGCAGCGTTCCATCACTGTCTTATATGCATGCACGCAGACAAAGAATATGCAAAGATAATTAACTTAGAGGTCTTCTTGTAAGTTAGAAATGACTGATTAGTATCCAACCCACAATTTTCCAAATGGATTTGGTCCATCAAAGCAACATTTGACAGTCTACAGCTCCCATCTCAGAAATCTTAGGGCTGGGCAGACCACATGAACAACTGTAAGCTTCTTTCTTGCCACCATACCCTGCAGCTTTGCAAATGAGATAGTGCCTGATGAAAATTCAAGTACCCTGCTCCTGTGATAGCTGTAAAGTGCAGATATACAGTCCTCAAGCGCTTCCAATTACATGGCTCATATTAGCAGAACAGGCTGGAATCACAGCTGTAATCTGTTACTTCACTTGAAACAAAGGAAGATTCAAATCACATTGGGAAAAACTTCCAGCAGTCTCACGTGCTTTATTACGGCATTATTAAGCAAAAACATTACTTACATAAGTTCATTGTTCCTGATGATTTTAACCGCTACTTCTTGGTTTGCTCTTGCCATGTCCCTGGCTCGTACTACGTTACTGAAGACTCCCTGACCAGTGTAACCATAGACATTGTAACGTTTATCTAGAACTTCACCTATATTAACACCTGAAGGATAAAATCAAGTAATTTAAAGTAAGAGTTGTGAGTGACATGCATCATAAAACATTTTATGAAAAATAAACGATTCTGTATAATTCATAAAGAGGACAAAATGGTACAATTTTAAATTACCTAACATACAAAACATACAATGTTTTATATCACCCAGCTTTGTGGAAACTACAGAGAACGAACTGTGCTTCAAAGCCTGGAATATTTGCAATCCTGAGGTTAAAACCTGCATGCTTATTTAATCCATTATACGAATATTTTGGCCTTCACACTTCAATACTGACTAGTGAAGTGAAACATGCCCACTTAATTATCTCCATTTTGAGTTGCAGATGACAACTACCACAACTGCTATCTGTATTCTCTTGGATGCTTGTTCTCTTTGTTTCAGATCCTGGCAAGCACCCCTTACTTTGTGAGGGTGATCTCATGGCTCTAACTATGGACAGGTTTTAGTTTTACTTTGATTTTTTATTTATTTATTTAATGTATGAGTAACTCGATGCTACACAAGTGTGCAAGACCAGAAAACTACTGTGGGCATGCCACACTCAGTGAAGGCACAGCAGAACATTTCCGTTAGAATGTTTCAGTACACTGACATGAGGATCTTTTTCATTTAGCATCCTTCTCTTATCTATAGTCGGAAATCAACAAATAAAACTTACGGTAATAGCCTTCGGCATCAGTCCAGTTATCCCTGAGATTTGGGTTTTCTTTGAAGTCTTTTCCAAACCCAGCTGCCCTTAAACGAGCACTCTGAAACAGAAAGAACAAAATTAACAGCTCTGATTGCACACTCATATATTTTTCCTTAATATATACTAATACAAACTAGGTCGATGTGATTAGGCACTTTTATCCTACTGAAACAGTGCTCTTCCCCACACTACAAACACACTTACCTTGTAGGAGAGAGAAACTACTGAACACAAAAGGCTATTTAAATACAAGCATTTGAAGACTGTTGCAAGGAAAGGGGGTGGGGACAACCAACAGAACTATTATTAAAGATGAGAAATTGGCCAAGTTTCAACTATTACCTACAGAGATTCTACACAAATCAAATTAGAACACACATTTTGGGTCATCTGAATAAGACACTGCATTCAGTATGTTTGCAGTAAAGTTTAGCAATTTGAGGGGTAATTTTAATAGTTTAAGCCTTGAATTTCTGTTCATTCAGTGCCACTTCACAGAATCCATACTATTATACTTATGACCATACAATTATTACAATTGCTGTTGAGATCTTTTAACAGATTTGGCAATATATTATCAAAAATCCAAATGGGTAGTACAAAACATCTTCAATTGCGCAACAGTTTTTTAGAGGGGGAACTGGTTACTTACAAGCTATTTAAATCCCTCCTTGCAATTTTGAAGTTTTTAAAAGAACAAAACCTCCATTGTTCTTTAAGTATTTATCTTTTTCCAGGTTTAAGTGTTCTGTTTTTTTTTTGTTTGTTTTTGTATGTTATAGTGATACAAAGGCAGCCTTCTGTCACCAATACTTCTGTCAAAACTTACAGACTATGTCTGCCATAAAACAAGTTTAACTGGAGAATCTGAGTTAAGAAAAAAAATGTTACCTGTACATATTTCAAGTTGTTGCATATCAGCAACAACTAGTATCAAAACTATTCGCTGGACTGGCAAGATTTGCATGCCACTTCAGCACATTTACAGAAAAGCTGCTGGAATAGTGCAAAAAGTAAAAACAGGAAATGCAACTCTTCATCCAAGAACAAGCCACTACATTACTCCAACAGAGTACAGCATCATTAGCAAATCAAAACACACTACACAGACACTTTCTAATCAAATCTACACAAATCTCTGCAAAAAATACACTTCCCTGAAGAAAGAACACTGCAGCATGCTAACATGAACATAAAAGAGTAATGTATAAATAAGTTTGTTACTGTGTGCAATCATAGGCCCCATTTAAACAGCAGATTATATCCCTGTTTATTCTGGCAAAAATCCTCTTAATTTCAGCAGGTTTTTTGTGTGTGTGTTTTTTTTCCACCCCCCACTGAAATATTAACTAACAACCACTTTGTCTGCCTCAGCTGATCAAAAGAACACATTATCCACTCAGTTACACGTGCTTGTACAAATCAGCATTCCCACAAACCTCAAGCAACAGCAACTCCTCAACAAAAATCAAGCAGGGAAAAAACGATACATTTCATCTCCAAGAATTACCTACATCAAAGTATGCAGCAAACATATCATCTGATTCTGTGAACATATCAGGAGCTAGCAGTTTCTTCTGAGCTGAACCTTAAAAGGAAATTTAGGTTACTCAACATGAAAGAGATGACAAACTTATAATTGTTACCAATACAATTTTTGACTTGATATTCTTACAATATAATCTCAAAATCGATATGGTGGCAAACAAGTGGCTTTACTAACAAATACCATTTTATATCCTAGAAATACAAAACTCAGATTGGTTAAGTTCTTCAAAGCACTCAAAAAATTTACACCTCCTTGAAAAATTAAGTATGACAGCTTTCAAGCAACTCACATAACAGAAAGAAAGAAAGAATAAATACTGTACATGATCCCTACAGACAAGGACAGTGTGTATATGTATTAAAAAATTGACATGTTTTTAATACACAAGTTCAGGGGTTTCTGCTAATCACAAAGTATTTTAGTAAAAGTTGAAAAGCCCAGAAATCCTTTCTTCGGTTAGTGCTTTCTTCAACCATGTCAAAAAGGATCTCATGTAGCTTACAGTTAAGGACAAAGTTAATTATGTTTAAGAGAGAAACATAAGAGAATCTTAATGTGGGCAAGATTATCCCTTTCTCACCTTTTAATCATCTTTAAAGTCCCAAAGACATTTTACTTGGTTGACAAGATAAAAACAAAGAAATACAAATTAAGCACACATTAGTGAATGTAAATAACCTTCAAACTATTTTGCAACACAAATTATGATAGCATTCCTTCAAGACCATAGTGAATTACACATACTCCGTTTAGGATATCAAGCAATGGAGAAAAATAAACCCTTTACCTCGGTATTCTTCAGTTCTCATAATGCCTACAGACTTTCCTACAAAGTATCTGGACTGAAATCTGAAAGCATCACAATTGCTCATCCATCATGCTGACACCATTGTTTCCAGGTGTAGATCCTTCCAGCAACTGCCTTAAGTTTTCTTCGTTTGAGTTGCTGATGTTTTCACTGGGCTACAATGAGTTACTAACTAGTTCCTTAGCGACTTACTATCATGCCTCTATAGGAGGGCAGGATATAAATCAAAAATAGCTCTGACAAAAAACAGATGATCCACTGTTTCCTGCTGTTGTTATAGCCACCCCTGATCCAGAATCCTACCAACATAAAAGAAATCCTTGACATCATGTGCGTATTCGATCAGTTTTTTAAAAAAAATCTCTTGTATCTTAAAAATGTCTGTGTAGTTAACAGCTGTATTTCCCTGTACATTAGTGGACAAAATGAGAAAACATATATCTCATAAAAAAAGGAACAAGGTACTATTGACTGTACACATAGAAAAGACTCAGTTTCAACTTGTGCTATGCTTAACAGAGGGAAGGTGCTTAGTATGGTTCCTTCCACCTCCACTGCACAAGAATAATCTGAAAACATACTGCTCAAGGGAACACCAGGACAAACTACAGAGCAGTTTGTCATGATACCAGTCCCAGAGAAATGCAGCTTTACTACTGCAAGGCACCATCCACTAGGACACAGCTTATTTATTTCCCAAAGATGTATCTAGTACATGATACAAAATGCAAGCTAAACTGTCCAACTATCTCCTGAAGGGTTTTGCAGGTTAAACAGCATAATGCTGCCATTACCTGAGTAGTTAAACTAGCCCAAGTATATTTGTGTGGCAACTAGAGACACACCTTTGACTGCTTGGAAGATTTACAGCAATCCCATTTCAAAGGACAAAAAAAAAGGCAGTTTTTCCAAACACTACAGGCTGAATTCTATGAAGGTGTAAAAAGAAACCAAGCGATGGCTCTTTTGCAGCATTCTGCTTATGAGCTGAGCATTCACACACAGTTTTATACAGCGGTATTTCAGATTCTTACCATTGTTCTGTTCAACCGTCATGAGGTTGTGCTTGGCTTTCACTGATGCCTCAAACGTGTCCACGTTTTCCCGTTCGTACTCTTTAACATCAGCAGCTACCCTTTCTAGGATGTCATCTGGCGAATTTGAGCGACTACGCGTACTACTTTGAGGACTGCTTGGTTCAGATGGCACAGATATATTACTGTCTTCTGGCTGGCCCTGGCCCTTGTATTTCTAAACAAACAGAATTATTAATCTCAGCATCACAGTTTATCACAATTATTTTTTATGTTCATTCTGAACGCTTTGTGCTAAAGTTAAGCTTTCATAATCACCTACATCTCTAACGGCAACAGATTTGTAGAACTGGATACAGTTTGTGAAAACTCATTCTGCTAAATGCACTACTGCTGAAGCCAAAAAATCAAGCTAAAAAGTTGTCTTTTCAGGCTTTTATATTTCTGTAAAAGTTGAATTTAGTGAAAATCAACGGATTTCCTTGGGCTTGACAAAAAGTCAATGCTTCCAGATTTATTCTGAAACCACTTCGGCACACAGAGTGAAAGAGAGTCCTTAAGAAAAAAAATAATCATAGTTCTAAAGAATTTTTACAATGAGCATTGCATAAAACTCAAAATGTGACTATTGTAACATAGACCTTATTTTAAACAGCACTAATTATGAGCAATATTTTTACAAATAAATATGCTAAAGCATTTTGCCTACTGCATTCTAACCATGTGCTAAATCCCATCCTTAAAAAAAAAAAAAAAAGACACCCAACTTGTGGTTTAGAATTACAACCCCTTGGCTTGGCCTCAGCTCCCTTTCAGGGGACTCAACATCGTCATACCTGTTACTACTGCCACCTTCTTACAAGGAGCAAGACCTTCATGGGAATAAATTCACATGTACAACTAAATACATTATTTACTTTCATGAAGGGGGAACCCACGTGATAATACAACCACATACCTGAACAATTGCTTCCCGCTGTAACCTTCTTTGTCTTATCTCTGCTTCTTCATCTTCTTCTTCCAAATCAAAATCTTCAAGACTATAAAAATATAATTACTTTTTATATAACATTATAAAGATAAGATTACATACTGAATTTTATCAAATGCAGTTTTTAGTGTAGAAAACACACGATAAAATATTAAACAAAGGCTATTCAGCTAACTCAGAAAGCAAAGGTGTAACCTCACACACTAGGATTTAATACATCTCCTTACTGAGAAAAGGTGCCTTTTGTTATCTCACTGGGACTCAGTATTTTATTTGTAACTGCAAACCTGATTGTTATGAATGCATATTCTTATTCAGTTGGATTAATTAGGTATTTAGTGAGTACAAAAACAATTTGCTAGTGGCAATCCTTTCAGCTGTTAACAGTTTTTCAAGCAATAAGCTGAGATACACACAGACCAAATGATTTTCACAAGATATTAATCAAGTTGAATTTAGCAACCAAACCACGTATCATTCCCTCTGGCCTGCCCACTAGACAACAGATTTTGATACTCTAGGGCATCTCAGTCATTTGACAAGATTATAAGTACTAAAACATATGATTAAGGTTTTAGGTGACAAGCCAGAGACTACAGCATGAAATAAAAACATCAATTCATTCTCCATGTAATGAGATCTGTATTTTCAGATAAGAAGCTTAAGTTAGATCTTAAAACTTACTTTTCATCCGATGAAGATTCCTGTTCAACTTTCATACCCTCAGAAAGACTACCTTTAAATTTGTCTTCTTTAACTTTGCTTCTACTCCTTCGTCTATGGCCACCACGTGACCTGGACCTCCTTCGAAGGCGAGATCTACTTCTTCGGCCTCTATCCCTAGTAACAGTAAGAGGGTTATTTTTTTGGTTTTGTTTTCTTGATTTTTAAAAGAAAGGGAGGAAAATCAATTCAAGAAACAAAGATACACAGCAACTCCAAGTAACAAATCAATTTGTGGAGCACAAAATTAATTCAACTACGCTAGGACATAAATGTGGACTGAAAATGCATAAATCTTTTTTCTTCTCAGGAGATGCTCAGTGTTTTTTAATTCCCATTTTAAGAAACAAAATGGAACTGTGGTATCTTTACCTCCTCCGAGGAGACCTACTCCGCCTTCTTGGTGATCGGCTACGCCGAAGAGGTGACCGAGACCTCCTTCTAATGGGTGACCGAGACCTTCTTCTGGATGGAGACCATCTGCTGGGTGGGCTGATATCTTTTGATCTTTCACGTCTGGACAAAATATCATCTCTGGTCCGCGTTCTAAAAGTAAAGAGAGAGAACAGTAGTAAAATTAGGAGCAAAGTGAAAAAAACAAACCTGCAATTCCTTCTAAAAGCTCGCTTTACGTATCTCACTGCAGCTGAGGGTCCACCAGACAGGCTTCTGAGGGCAGAAAATGGATAAAAATGCATTGCAGAGCTGGCTGCCCTCCTTGCAGGTTTCTTCCCACGCTGGGAAATACTTGCCCATACACAGGTCTAGTTTAGGACAATTCTGGAAACAAAGCCCAATTGCTATGACAAAGCTGAGAAAGGTTTTAAAACAGAGCTCGTATTTGGGTCTTACTTAAATAGTGGCCTGTTCTCATGTTTATCAGAAGCTGTATTTAAGCAGCAAAGAAAATCCAAAAACTAATTATTGAAATTCTCAGAAACTTCACAATACAGTTTAAATTTAGCACAAAGCTACTCCACAGCAATGACTTCCACGTCTTCCTCAATTTGGGCACTAGAACTGGACTGTTTCAGCATTTCACACGTTCTAGTACAGCAGCTGGAAACTACAATTCTCACTTAACCCTTCTCAAATTTAAAGAAGTTTGACGCCATGTACTGTTCAAAATTTGTTCATTCTTGTCTACATAGACGCACAATTATTTAAGAAAGAAAAACATCCTTGATGAGCCAACTATATTTAAAAGCTTAATTGTATTCCTTGACCCAAAATTGTAAAGAATGAATGCTAAAAAAGTATTTGACAGCTATTCTGACAAGGCTGCAACATAAACTCTTGGAAATATTTCTATGCCATTGTTCAAATAAACCATTGCTATTCTATTTCGTTTAATTTTCTTTTAAATTGAATCAGGACAAGTTATTGCTGTACGCCATCAACGAACAAAGTCTCTCGGGTCTGAAAGATTAATTCTACCCATTCTGTAATGATTTTTTATTTTTTGCAACTATTATTTCAGGTTCAAATACCCTAGCTATGTGTAAGGGACACATATATAGAACTGATGCATAGGAGTGAATGGTGAGACACAAAAAGTTAAGGGCATACAGAAGTTCTGCCAGTTTCTGCAAGAATCCAACGATGGAGCAGGCTGATTGATCTCTTTATCCCATTTAATTTAGGCTGTGTTCTTGTGAACAGTATTACCAAAAAATAATAATCAGAGGATAAACTGACAGTTCTAGGCTTCCTAATTAACAAAGTGGTTGTACTGCCAAAATATCAAAATATCTGTAAGAAAAAGAATTTCAGTCATAGAACTAAGCATCTTACATGACTAGAACGCTGGAAACAAACAGGAAAAATAAAGTTACTGGCAATCTGTGGTTAGAAATGCTTGTCAAAGATGAATTTCTCTGGCAGCCTGTGTAGTTACAGGTAGTTAATACTCCAACATAGAAGTGTTGGCTCAAGACTTTCCGCAAAAACATCTCCTGATGATTTGCAAATACTTCCAGCAGAAAGTACATGTATTTCTCAGTAGTCCCCTACTCATGACAGCATTACCAAAGTTACCTTTCTATAAACTTGACAGCACAATTCTAGACACATGCATCACTTGAAGCAGTGTTGAGACAACTAATTCAAACTGGCTACACTGCCAGCTGTCATTAGAAATGAAAAGTGAAAGATGTAAAACGCTAAGACAGACAAATACCACATCAAAGAAGCTTAACGGCATGCCCATTCACCGAGAAGCAGTCAGATAAACTGGTTGCATTTACAATACTCATTCAATCTGGTTAACACCACTAGGGCCATTCTCCAAAGCACCTGCACTATTGCTTATCAACAGCACAGCCAAAGCAAGCTGGTAACCGTGCCTGTGGAAGACACCCATACTTGAAACTAGAGTAACCCTGGTGATGCAGGCAGAATGACTTTCACACTTACGTGATGCTAATTACCAAGTTATATCTGAGCGGTTCCAAGGTGTGAGTTCATACTTCTTAGTTCTCTGAATGTGTGAAGCTAAAATCCATGTTAAAAAGTTTATAACTATTTAAAACTTATTCATCATCCAAAAGCGATGCTGAACGCTTTTGCCTGCTGAATTGTTTTTGCATTTAACGAGTTATCTTCCAGAAGAATATACATTTTTGTTGTTCTCTGGAAACTTACCATCCAGGCCGTGTTGGCTTCAGAGACGGAGATACTAGGAATTATTACCTGATGGTTTACACCAGATCTCAAGGTAACTTCTTTTCAGAGGCTAAACCACCTTTTAAAACAAATGCTAAACGTGCACTAAAAAGGTTTCTGCCTGTCCTCCCTCAGTTGGGTGTATGCAGAATACAGCAATGATACATGAGCTCAGTCTCAGCAGTAACACAGATCAATACAGAGAAACGCTACTGTACCTATAGCAAACGAGTGACAAAATACTTAAGAAAAAAACAACTAAGAAGGACATCTTGATACTAAAGATTTGTTTACATCGTGCTGACAGTATGTCTACTTTGGGGGGGGTGTGGTGGTGTTAATTACCCACTGTCAGTCACCACTGACATTTAAGAGTAGAGGGAAGAGAGAGAGCTCTCTTCTCAGGAATTCCTGAAAACAAACCTATTAACTAAAACACAAATTGGAAATTCAAATCTGAATGGAACAGAGTGATAAAAGGCCAAACCTGAACTATAAAACTTGCTCACAGTACTGGTGTGAGCAGCAAGTAACTCGGTATATTAACAACCAACACCGAGTCTGCATGTCTGGGGGGGGGAATATTTTTGAAACCTGAACCACATACAAAGGAAACTTGTAACATACAATCGGATTCCCCTTTTAATAACTATTTTCAAAATAAAAGAGAAACACCAAACTAGAAGACAGTTCACCCCATAAGGCATTTTTGCAACGGTTCATGACATCTTCAAGTTACCTGGGAGAAGACAGACGCCTCCTTTCTGATTCTCGTCTTTTCCTTTCTACTGATCTACTCCTCAGTCTTCTACCTGGAGACCGGGTTCGAGAGGGGGATTTACTCTGTTTAGATCTACGATCATTAAAGAGAGGGGATCTGCTTCTTCTCGACTTTTCACGTGGTTTGGGAGATAAGCTTCTTCCTTTTGGGCTTCGGCCAGGTCTTCTAGGGGACCTGTTTTCTTTCCCTGAAGAAGCATCTTTAGAAGGAGATTTAATTGGCTTTTTTTCTTTGTCAGTCTCTGATCGCCTAGATTTTCTATCTTTGGACCGTGATCGTCTATCTTTGGATTTGCTTCTGAGTTCTATTGGAGATTTGGATTTTCTGCCACGATCTCGACTTTTGCTTTCATTTACAACCGGAGACTTTCTGCGATCTCTTGATTTACTTTTATCATCAGCCTTATTTCTGTCTTCTGGGGGAGATTTAGACTTCCTATTTTTCTCCTGAGATCGCCTTTTAAGCATCGGAGATCTTGATTTCCTTGTCTGATCTTGAGACTTACTTCTTTTGTAAGGGCTTTTGGATTTTCTCCTTTCTTTTGACTTGCTTCTAGTTGTCTTCTCTTTGATTCCGTCAACTCCTACCTTGCTTTTCTTTTTGTCAGACCTGTGCCTAGTCCTTTCTTTTGATTCACTCTTATTTCCTTTCTTGGAACTAGCTTTATTTTCCACAGGTTCTAGTTTCCCCTTGGTGCTTGACTTTGTTGCAGGCCTCGTCCCATTCCGCGCTTTTTCATTAATTTCCCCCTCTTCTTCAGATCCTGACTCATAACCTTGTAATATTAATCCCATACCAGACTGGACTTTTCCTTCCATTAATTCATTTTCAAGTTCAGCTTTCAATAATGCTCTTTGTTTCTCCAAGTCTTCCAGAGGAGCTAGAAAATCAATTTTAGTTCTTTTAGCTGGTCCATCTTCTTTGTCAGAGGCATCGGCTACCTCTTTCCGTTTATGTTTCTTATGTTTGTGTCTGTGTTTGTGTTTTTTGTCCTTATCTTCTTCTGAAGAATGTTTATGTTTCTTGTGTTTACTTCGATGTTTGTGTTTCTTTTTTTTGTGTCGGTTGTGCTTGTTCTGAGGTTGGTCTGCCTCCGATACTTCCCCATTTTCTTCATTTGTACTTTTCTCCGACACATTAGTATCCTCAGCCCTGCAAAAATAAATACAGATTAGTATTAGCAACTCACTTAAGTCCTTTACTTTATCTCATGTTACTTTGCTAGCCTTTTATGATAGAAGTAGGTTTTATCTGCTTTTGAGAGAATTAAAAGCATACAGCCATTGTAACGAGGTTATAACAGCAGATTCATCATGAACAGACAGCTGACTGAAAAAACAAAACAAAACAAAAAACACCACAGAAAGAAGGTACAGCAAATCATCTTTCTTATTTGCTGCTCTACTCACATGCCTAACTCAAGCTATGCCTTTTAAAAGTACTTTCAAATGGCAGGCCACGGTTTTGCTTCCAAGATCAAAACTTATACCAAGGGATGATTCTGACCACCTAAGTAAACCATTGTGCAAAACTTCAGGCAGGGCAGACTGATTCTCTTGTTACTCCTTTCTGTATGTGTATGCACCTGTCGGAAAATAAAAAACTGTTTTTATGATCTATTTATATTTGTAAAGCAGGGAACACTATCAAGGACAGAAGAAATTAAGGAAGTTTAATTTCAGAAAAGCCTTCCAACCGTATATAGAAGACTATCGGCTTCATGAGGAAAAAAAAAGCAGTTATCTTTAGACCTGCAGGATGGCATTGGACAAAAAAAATAGAAAATAAGTATACAGCAGGTTATTAAAATTAGAATGGTAGTGTCTAAAAAAACCTCAATTCAATTAGCTAGTAAAAGCAATGTGCAATTTAATTAGTACAACACCTTCAAAAGTTACATTATCCAGCCCTGACATGTCAGGCATTCCATGTGTTACCTTCCTTAGAAGCCAAAACTGGATTATCAATAGACTTGCACAGTGTTTAGCAAATACCTTCTTCAGAACATCAATTAAGTTATCAGCTCTGCTACAATGGATATTTGCCTTCTGAAATCTATGGCCAAATCACAGCACAGGTGCCAGCTAAATTAACCTTTCCACAAACTCACCCCACCTGCACTAGTTTTGGAATTTACCAACACTTCAGTCATTTAAATACAGATCTTTCTCAGGCTCACTCACAGACAAGAAGTTCTCTGACCACGATGGCCTGGAGCAGTGGTGGGATATGCACAGAAAGGTACAGACATCCTCTGAACTCCGCTAGGGTCGTATGCCCAGCAATCCAGTAGTTTAAGTGTATCAGAAATATTCTAAGACATCTAAAGGACAGCACCTCACTATAAATGAGATCAGTGTTTTCCTAACTAAGAACAGGATGCATAAACAGCACAGTACAGGATTCTCTCCTACCTGAGTTGGTGCAAATTCAAGTACTGGAAAACAAACCCAACTTTTTGGCGATATTCACCAAAATAATTTGCTAAGACCATTAACCCTTTATTGCTCTGAAGTGTTCTCCTTCACTTTCCAAGGGGACGGACTGGGAGATAAAAAAAATACTGGAGTTTCCAATAGAAACTTAAGTCTGAACACTGTATGTTTTCTCTTTTATATCTCCACCACTACTACTGCTTACTGCAAAGCAGGGTATTCCTCTTAACTGCCCCCTCCTGTCACTTGACACCGTTGTGACAAGAGAATATCCAAAAGAAAGAGGACAAACTGCGTGATGAGTTCATTCAATGTCACATTAGGCACAAAAAAATACCAAAAAAAGAAAAAAGGGTTAAATTTAAAACTTTCTCAGTTTGGATTTGCAATCCACATAGCATCAGTGCAATGAGTTAGCAAAAGGGAAGAGAAAGGTGGCAAGGGGAGTACCGAGGTAACCGTGCATCTTTTAGGATTTCTTTAAGCTGGCTACAGGAAGTTGTGAGAGTACCCCGTTAACACACTGATGTCCTTCCAGTACATTATAGAAATATTAAGGAACAGCAACAAAAAAAACAATCTGTTCAAGCTGCTCCAGATAAGGTGACACCAAAAGCCAGGAGGAAGTTTTTTTTAATCAAATGTATCACCGCGTTATGTAAGATCTTTGCCTCACTTTCTGCAAAAGCCAGCTGGTAGCAGAGGCCCCAGACGGGGTGCACCCCCACGGCAGCATCTCTGGCCACCAGATTGCTAATATGACCGCCCGTTTTCTTCGCTTTTGCGCCTAAACACTCAATTATTGGTAAGTTCTGTCAGCGTGAGGTATTTCGGTCAGTTCACATGCAGGATTTCCCTCAAGCAGTGCCGTGGGAACACGCACAAACTTTCACTGCATGTGAACAGCTCGGAGCTGGGAAAGCTTTTAGGGACACCTCACAAAGCAGGAGGCAGAGAGGTAGCTGCACATTTTGGGGCCAGAAGCTTCAAACTGAGAGGGGTCAGGACTTATTCGTGTGACAGCCCCGGCACCAGAGGGAGTTCAGGAAGCTCTGCGAGGAGGCGGCGCCCATTTTTCCTACCTTCGGGCTCCCTCTCACCGCCTCATTTCCTCGCTTTGCCTCTCCGAGCGCCCTTGTTTTTATTTTTTGTTTTACACCCCTACACTCGCGTCCTTTACTCCCGGAATTAACCGGGGAAAAAAAAATAAAAACATTAAAAAAAAATAAAATCCTCAGAGGGCAGAAACCAGGCACGGAAGCACCTCGTGGGGCCACACGAGGAGGAGGAGGAGGAGGGCAGGCCGAGGCGGGAGGAAGGCTCGCCTCAGCGCCCTCCGAGCCCGCGGCCCACGCGGTGCCGGCCCCGCGCCTTCCTCCCTCTCCTCCTCCTCCTCTTCCTCCTTCTCCTCCTCCTCGCGGTCGCCGTGCCCCGCCGGCCGCCTCTTAGCAACCCCTCTCCCTCCACGCCGCCTCCCTTCTCCCTTCTCCCTCCTCCATCCACCAGCGCTCCCCTCACCCCCGTCCCCTTCTTCTTCTTCTTCCTCCCCTCCCTCCTCCTCCCCCCCCCCCGCCGCCCCCTTACTCGGGCGCCCGCAGCAGCTGGGGCTCGGCCGCGGCGGCCATTTTGAACGTCCCAACTCCTGCGCCGCCGCCGCGCACGCGCGCCCTGCACGGCCGGGAGGAGCCGGGGCCGGGGATGGGGCCGGGGCTTGGGGCCGGCAGCCGAGGCGATGGCGGCGGCGGCGGCGGCGGGCGGAAGCCGCAGCCGGGGCTGTGGGCGGGGAGCGGGCCCCGCAGCGCCGCCCCTGCCCCCCAGCAGCCGGGGGCGGCGCCCGGCGGCCCCGTGAGGTCGGTGTGGGGGGGGGGATGGTGCGGGAATGAGGGTGCGGGGGGAGCTTCACGGAGGGGAAATGCGTTCTTGGGGTTGTCTTCAGAGAGTTGGGGTCTGGGTGTTGTGGCCTGATGTGGAGTTTAACTACTTGAACTGCGTTGTTCTGTCTTCTGTAGGTATGCCTGACAGAAAGGTCCGACGGTGAATCACAGAGCCATTGAGGTTAGAAAAGCCCTCCAAGATCACCTGGTGCAACCATCCCCTACCACCAATGTCACCACTAAACCGTGTCCCCAAGCACCACGTCCAGCCTCTCCTTGAACACCTCCATGGACAGTAACCCCACCACCTCCCTGGGCAACCCATCCCAATCCCTGACCACCCCTTCTGAGAAGGATGCCAGTGTGCCCCACCAGTGAACCCACATCTCCCAGAGGGAAACGAAACATCCCGGCTGTATGCTGCTCGCTCTGAGGGTCTTCAAGCCCAGACTGCTGGCCTGGAGATGTTTCTTCACAATCAGCATCAAAAGTAAGATCAGGATGGGCCTGGCTCATGTACATGAAAAAGATGCAGCGTGTCACACTTCAGTCCGTCCTAAAACAGACCCAGATGCAAATGAGTCGTACAGCATAGGAGATGAAGTTAACCAAGAAAATAAAGCAAAGAAAATCATGTAAAATCATCCATCTATTACCCATGTGTCAGATGCGTCAAAATGCAAACCCTCACTGATGTGACATGAGCCCAGGGAGTCTGAGCAATAATTTTCATGCCGCTCACTCATAATGAACACCTTTGTGGAGAAGAAACAGGCCATTTTCAGCTTGAGGAGCCCTGGCCTGCAGTGCCTGGTTCTCTTTCATATATCACGGACTTCAGCAAATCCAGAAACAGCAAAGGTAAAAAAGCACAGTCTGTTACAACTTTTGGCCAGTGTTGTGTTTACATCCAGAACTCTGACTGTAGTTGAGGAGGTAAAAAAAACAAACCTGAAGATGAAACGGGGCCTGAAAATTACCAAAATCAGAAGAAAGCTAGGCGTGATAATAACATGGTAAGCTCTTCCTATGAAAGAAGTTTGCACCTTAAATCTGAATTCTGAGACAACACAGCATTTCTGCAACACATGCAGTGTAGTACTGAAGTCAAAAGATGCTCATAAAATCCAGGAAAGGCATCATGACGTGGATTGTAGTCACTTGACGGTGGGTCTTAACAGAAAATCTATTAAAATCATACAAGCACATAAAAGTAACCTACTAGTGCTTCATCTGTGAAAGTGTTTTTAATATCATAGAGTACCTGGAAAGCGCACAAAACACCACCAGAGGAATCCTCATCTCTTTCAGCACGAAAAGTGTTCATCATTATCATCATTTGAGAATGAGAAGATGTCTTCGTGTAGCTTGCTGTTAGTAGTCTACATTCAATGTATCCAATGTGATTTTATCAGTAAGTCAAGTACATTTTTAATTCTAATTCAATTGCCTCAGCTATAAAGTTGTCAGTGCACATGACTTAATTTGGTCATGTGTAAATTTATTACAGAGTTTGAGTGTGAAGTGCAAATGCTTTCATGAGAAACCAAGGCAAAACATTTTAATACTGGTTGAAAAAAATGGAAGAAATAATTGCAAAAATTCTAAAAGGTGTTGTAAATGTCCACTTTTTGGTGATACTCCTTCATTTTCCAAATTCCTAGCTCACTTTATAGTGTAGATTCTGAAAGTTTCTAGGACTAGTTGACTGTCACATTGCCGTAATTTGTAGATTATTTGTTTTTTAATGGGTCTGTAACGTTACTGGGAAATTATCAAGATTAATGTTTTTTTATTGCTAAATTGTGTGAAACAACTAATAGGTAAATATTATCTCCCTTTATAAATGAGTAACTTAATCTGGATCTCGTAAATTAGAAAAGGACAGGATGCCAGTATTCCTCTGATGTTTTTTACATTGATGACAAGAGTTGTCATCAGACCAAGTGTTCTTTAATTGAGCAAGGGATGAAAAACTTTAAATTGTTTCTGTTACTAATTGCAGGTGCTTTCCTCTCAATAAAGCGGTGCGTTTAGTGCTTACCTTCAAGACACTGGGTAAACTTGTGCAAAATCTGCATCCATGGGTGTCCATTTAACTGCTCAGTGTTGCAGGTGATCTGCGGTGACTGCAGATTTTCTTATTTATGTTTAGCAAGGCTGCCTTGGCTGCTGCTGCTCATACAGACCAAATTCTTGCTGCCCGGGTTAAACTGCTGGCTCAGTTCTGATCGCTCAGTAAGGCCGCTGCCAAGGCACTGCAAGTCTTTATGAAACGAGGTGGTGGCTCACAGGAGTGCTCGGAGTTTGTGGCAGCCGTCGGATTAAGCAAACCCTCTGCTTGTGGGGAATGTGGAATAACAGGGCTTCCTGTGTTCGTAGCCACGCCAGACTTTGCATCTGCATTGTGGTGTTGGGTTTGGAGGCTTTAGGTTAGAGTGTGCTCGGCAGTCTAATTTTGAAGTCTTCTTGTTTATCTTTGGGAAAGGTAGGGTCGTTCTGAAACTTAACTGCTTAAAATGGCAGTGCTTAAAATTTCCAGGGAAGGTTGTAGCAGAATTTCTGCAGGAAAAGTAACTTTTTTTTTTTTTTTTTTTTTTTAAGTCATTTTTAGAGCTAAAAGCAGAATGAGTATTGTTCTTCTTTGCTCACAACAGCACAGTGTCTCCATTTAGTTATATGTAACTAAGCAGGCAGCAAGACTGCAGTCCACTCTCTAAGGGGTTGGGAAGAAGGGTGTAGGATAGAGCTGGAATTGTGACAGCCCCTCTCACTTCTGCCACAGTGTTTCAAAACAGAAATGGTTATAAGGGTGGAAAGGTTCATGAGTACCTATGTAAACAATACTTTCTTAGGTCAAAGGAGAGCTGTTTTGTATCGACAGTTGTATCTTTTAAAGGATAACTTCCTTCCAGTCTGTGTGAAAAAGAGATCAAAAATCCACCTCCCTTGCAGCTGTAGTGAGAGGACATCCTGGGGTGATGTCTTCTGGGTTACTTGTTTCACAATTTCCATTATGTTCAAGGAGCAATGAATTCTGAGAGTTGTAACCATTCACTGTTAACATACGCAGAAAGTTTTCTTAATTTTAGCCTCCCATTTAAATAAAAGTAATTGTCAAAACTTACACAAGGTGTATAGCGATAGTCTGCTGTCTGTACTAGGGATGAAGAGGCAAAAGGCCTGAGACTAATCATGCTGCTGCCCGTCACCATTTTTGGTCTTTGAATTTTAAAAGAGAGTCTAGAACTTGCTATGAAATTCAATGATTTTATATTAAAAGCTTTACAGGAAACAGTTAGTGGTCTCGATTCCACTTACCATGAAACAGAAATCCTCTATGCAAAACCCACAACCTCCAATCAAGTTCTTTCTGGAGACCAAATTTAGACTGTCAGCAGATGCACTTTGAAGAAAATGGGCATGTGAAGCATATTGCATCTCACCACTAAAAATAGTCCTTTGAAACGTGGGTATTTTGCTTGTTTCTTAAGTATCTGTTCCTTCAGGGTTTTTCAGGCGTTCCATAATTCACATCAAAACAACTCTGCTACAGTGGTGTCTTTTGCTAACTCATGTTTAATTGTGGCGTGAAATCTTTGAGAGCTGCTTGTCATCCTTTTGCAAATTCAGCCTCATACAGCTCAGAAAAACAACACCACCACCAACAAAAAACACCACAAAACACTTTAAAACTACGCAGGAGTTAAGTTTGAAACATTTATGTTAACACGTGTTTAATGTGGACCAACTGTTTAGTACACAGAAGTGAAAGAAGAGAGCGCAGGAAGATACAGGGAATTGAGATGCAGGGCACCATGAAATATTTGCCTTTTTGCATTTCTTTCTGCTGATTTGATTTCCTGATTGACTTGTTTTGGTAATTTCCAAAACTAATCATTTTTGGCAATTGATAATTGCTTGGTTAAGCAATTGCTTGATTGCCTGTTAGTTTATAAGAAATAATGAGTTAATAGCAGCAAATTTATCTTCGGTCTGCTTCATCTTACTCTGTGAGAGCTTTCTTCCAATCTGCAACAGGTAAGATTGGTTTGAAAGCTTTATACAAAAAAGGCTCTGTGTTATCTCATAATTCTGACTGGATCCTTCACTTGTGTGGAGAGATGACCATGCTGTATAAAATGTCAAAGCTGAGGGGTGCTTCACGTGTGAAACTTTTCTGATTTTAACTCGGTGACAGTTTGACTGGAACATCATCAGAATTTGGATGCTTGTGAATGAAGGCCAGCTTTGTTAAAACCACGAATTAGATCCATGTTGGCAAAGAGTTTGGTCTCTCTCTGATTCCTCTTGTGCACTGAACGATGCCAGAAGCACACGTTGCAGTTTGTACCATTAGCAGCTCCAGCTCCTCCGAACTCAGCCTGCAGCTTCCCAGACCTGTGGTGTTTGGACCAGGGCTGTGTGGAGAAACCTGTCCCTGCTTCTCCGATTTCTGACTGCTGTCTTCGATTAATGAGGTTACCTGAAGCTGGGTGAATCTGACGAGGAACTATTTAGCAGCCTATCAATCAATATATATATTTGATTTAGTTCCATCAAATATAGGTAACTTCTGCATTTCTTAAATCACAAAGCGACTTTCTGAGGACACCCTCCAGCTTTGTCCCTTGCTGAGGGAGCTGGGCGTTCTTGCAGAATCTTCACACCCTCAAATCTGACTGTTTAATTTCAATTGTAATAGTGGTAGAGGCTATGCATCTAACAACAGCTCCTCCTCATGCTGATAAATGTTCCTCAACATTATGTTAAAGAAAGGTAATTCCTCAAAAAATTATTGTTCATAATGTTTTAAAGTGGAAGCAGTAAGAGTGTGGCTTTTATTTGAAAAGCCCTAATGACCCATGGCTTGCAGGAATGCTCTAAGCATTTTTCAGGTGGTATCTTCCATCAGAAGAGCTGAAAGGCATGCTCCTGATGCAAAAACCTGTCTTGGTTTGGCCTCTTCACAGCCTCTGGGAAGTGCAAGGAGCAGTGAAGATACTTTACTGTAGGAAGCTAATTGTGCTTTGTCCTTTAAGGAGGGAGGACTAAGAAAACTTGACGATTTTCTTTGGTCCCAAATGTTTTGAATTAATTCATAGAGAGCATTTTAAAAAAGCTGGATACTGAAGACCGGTGGAGTTGTAAAACCTGTGAGAAGTTGCTAGAGGTCAGGATGAGATGGGTAGGTGAACTTGAGCACAATTTTGCAAACACAGAAACTGCAACTGGGACTGGGCACAGCACATAGAGTGTAAAATAAAAACAAGTGGCAAGTCTTGGAGAATGAAAGTGCCTTAGGATACAGGGTAGCCTGAAGTTGAGGGAAAGGATTTTGAGTCTCAAATAAGTGGACCAGCATTAATAGAAGAGGGTAAGATTGCAATTATCAGCGATTAATTCAAACATCAGAGGTTTCTAGTGTGTGTAAGGGTTTCAGCAATGCCAGCGGACCCAAAGATGTAGAGCTTAGTGATATGGTTTAGTGGAGGACTGGTTAGTGTTAGGTCAGAGGTTAGACTCAGTGATCTTGGAGGTCTCTTCCAGCCTAGGTGATTCTGTGATTCTGTGATCCCCATTGTGAAATCAGGAACTTCTTAAGTGCGTTGTTTCAAAAAGTAAAGCCTGAGCCATACCAAGAAGTTTGTTTGGTTGGTTGGTTTTTTGTTTGTTTGTTTAAAAGCAAAAACTCACAGTAAAAGCTCCAAAGTCAGATACTCATCTTCTGCGTGGGTGTGTAGGTACATTTTAAAAATCTTCAGTTGCCTGCCTGCATACAATCTTTCTTTCTTTTTTGTTATCCTTCCCAAATTCAGTGCAAGAATGAATAGTGCTTTAGTAGTTTTTTTTAGTGAGTGTTGAGTGTATAGGCAGAAAGCAATGAAATTAAGGTTACCAAGGCAACTTTGATTATGGCACTTCCTAATTATTTTATTTCTTGGCTTAACAAACTTAATGAGCTGGGGGTTTTATTGTGTTTTAATATTCGATTTATTTAGTGTTGAGGGAGATATGTTGGGAATCTGCCTTAACGTATTAAAATAAGTTACCAAAAATCCATTGGCTTTCCCAAGATGTGCTGTAGGCTCTTGCTGACCAGCCTGTGAGACCACAAAGCACATTGTTACATGCACGGATTTGTTCCTTAGGTCCTGTGATGTCTAGACCCTCTAGGGTTGCCGGGTTTGCCTCCATCAGGACATCCTAACATACACACTGCGTTGGTTGATGATGTATTGATCACCAAACCCTGCTGGAGCACGGAGCTGGCATACGCTGCATAGAGGGTGAGGTAAGCGTTTGTTCCCAATGCTTACTTGCGTATACAATCTCAAAGAAGACATATGACATGTTAAAGTTTTTGCTGTTGTTTTTTGATCTATAAATGTTCACAATTGAGGAGACCTAGAAAGCACAAGTTTTTTAAATGTGCATTTTTAGATACAGCTTTTGTACGATAAAAACATTTAATTTGATAAACCCAATGGATTCAGATCAAATGAGATTCTTGAAAATCGTGGCTCTCTTCTCTTACTTTCTCATTTTTAAAAAAGCAAGGATGTTTATTGTGGCAACAAGCGTGTCAAAGACAGCAGAAACTTTCCGAGTGTTTTTATTTTGTCATTATCACTTGTGCTTATTTCACCTCCTTTTTCTCTTTGTGCAGAGCAGCACTGTAGCAATTCTGTGAAGGAAGTGTGCATACAGAATGACAGTCTGTTCTTTCAGGGTGTGTGTGAATGGCAGTTAAACATTCCTGGAAGTCATCTACTATTTATATGTGCAAACATAAAATAGACCATTTACTTCCTCAACATCAGCAACTTAGATCTAATTCTGCCCTACAGTTAAAAATCAAATGGCTTGTCTAGCTCTTCGGCTCTTCTGGGAAGCTTTTTTTTTTTCTCCCCTTCTGTGTGTGTTTGTGTGTTTGTTTCACAAACGTAACCTAGAAGGGTTTTTTTTGTTTGGTTGTTTTTGTTTTCTCTTAGTGGACTGATTTATGAAGGTTACAGTATTTCAAAAGTCCCTTTAAAACTGTCTTTTGAAGATACTTTTGAAAGTATCTTACCTGAAATTAAGTCTTTTCAGTCATTGATGGTAATGTAAAATATCAGTTGATACTGTATTTTTGGGTTTCTTTTTGAATTAGTTTACTTAACTTAGTTCTTTCTTGATAATCTAGAGCAGAGCTGAAAGAACATGTGAAAAACCACAAAACTTCTCCAGCCTTTTTGTGTTCAATTTGTGGTCAAGTATTCAAAACCAGACATCAGATGAATGGACATCGCAAACAAATCCATTAGAAAACACAAATTAAAGAGAGGAAGAGATGAAGGCTGAAGATAATTCCATGTGGTCCAACACAAAAGCAACTGGAAAGAAGAATTCAAGTGAATTTGCATGCAGTACCTGCAGTAGGTATGGCCTGTATTATAGCAAAACTCTCTATTCTGCTTGATATACTCCAGTTAATTCTGTAGATCTTTACTGCAGAATCATAGAATGAATGAATCAAAGAATCACAGAATGGCCTGGGTTGAAAATGACCTTAATGGTCATCTAGTTTCCACCCCCCTGCTCTGGGCAGTGTTGCCAACCACTAGAGCAGGCTGCCCAGAGACGCATCCAGCCTGGAACAATTGATAACGTGGCACACTTATTTCCTTACTCACCTATTTTTACAACAAAGATTTTTTGCCTGAATGAAAATAAGGTACCCTATCCAAATAATCGTGTTTTCTACTTTTTTGTGATGGTACCAGTCTTTTTGAATAAAGCAAGCAGGAGTTGTTTGAAAGGTGTTTCTAAAGCTTGCATTTTATTCAAGCAGTAAGAAAGACCACTGAGATGTGCTCATTGAAGTGCCAAGAGATGTGTACTCTTGTGCACATGTGAGGCTTTTCAGAGTCCTGCACACAAACTGGATGAAAAAAATTGTGACAATGTACAGCTTTCTCTGCAGTCAATGGTACATTTGTAATAGGCATAGTTACTGAATAATCACTTCTGTCACTTAATGCAGAGTTCTATTTATCTGCAGCTATGAGTTCACACTAAGACTTTGTCTGATCTCAAGTGCATCCTCTCTTCTGAAGAGAACTTAAGAAAGTATTTGAAAGCTTTGATGTTGTTCAGAAAAGATCCTTTGGTAGCTACCTGTCTATGACTTAACATCACACAATATTCTAGTGATAGTTTTCCTACTACTTAGGTAAAGGACTTAATGAACGTTCTGTTTCTGCAGGCTTCTTCTATGTATGTGAGTTTGGTTTTGAGGTTGTTTTATTTGTGATGTGTGACCATACATTATATGCCTGTTATATTACTAGAAAACTTTTTCACAATACACACCTACTGTTTAACTAGACAAACCACTTTCTGACTTTTAAAGTTATGTACAGTAATCTAAATAATTCACATTTTCACGGATTTTTCCCAAATAGCTTCTTTACCCTGCTGTTTGGTAGGACTGAAATAACTGTCTGTAACGAATCTGGATTTCCTGTTTTGAAGTCATTATTGCTCACGTGGAAAGAAATAAATACATGTTTTAATTGCTTACTGAAATTGGTATAATAAAAAAGAAAAAGAATTTGGGCTTGGATAGTCAAAGGCCTGATTACTTTTAATGAATTAGCAGCATTGCTAATAGATACAGAATAGACTGACATGCTGATGATGTACCTTTCACATAGGCATCTTTTTTTTAATTAAGCAGTCTGTTAACAAGCCTTGTCATAGTCAAAGCACATTCCAGCCATAACAAGTTGTGCAAACAGAGCAGTCAGACAAGTTGCTCTTACATTCACAGTGAGGTATTTTGACATAACTTGTCTCAATTTTGAAGTGTTTGAGAAGTATATTTGTACAAGGTTAAGCATTCTTACATCATTACAACTGTTGGTTTTAACAAGTGGACTACGGCAACTCAGATTTAGTGTAAGGTTATGTACGAAATGTGGTGTTATCTGACGTATGTGTAACACCTCTGTTTCAGAAGTAAAAAGTGTGTTTGCAGAAGGGGTCTCTGGAACTATCCCCGAACAATCCTTCCAAATACAGCAAATAAGGAATTTACTTGAGTTTTTCATACCTCATTCTCACATGAGTTTTGCTGTTCTATCTGTCCAGCAAAACAAGCTTCGAGTTAACCCTGTTTCTTTCTTACAGCCTCTTTGAAAGGCATGCTAGCAGAACTGCTAAGTATCCGTGATGAAAGATAAGAAGACAGCCACAGGCTTTCCCCTAAAGATTCGCCTGAGAATCTGTGGCAGCTCCCGTACAGCAGAATCTGTTGTGAACTGCAGCCAATTCAGTGCTGTGCTCAGGAGCTTAGGTTAAATCGCTGATGGCAGAATAGCATACAGATAATCCTGCTGTGCTGGCTGCGCCTCTGAATGCGCAGAATGTGCTGCTGTGCACAGCTCTGGAGTGCCAAAGCAAGCAGCCTCAATTTCCCTGCTTCCTAGAGTTGTCTCTCATTATGCCTAAATTAACAGCTCGTTTGGGAAATCTATTTTAGTGTTTATTGATGCTTCAAAATTAAAACTTAAAAAAATAATCCAAAGCCTTTAAAATGAAAAAGATCTGCTGTCCCAAGGCTGAGTCGGCTGAGAAATGGAGGTAACGGTGTGCAGGGACCAGCTATTTTCCTGTCTTCTTGTTATGTTTGTTTTGTTTTCCACAAGGGGGCAGCAAAAGAGCAACATAACCCTGGCTTTTTTCAAGGGCTTTTTCAGTGTTCCTCTTTGACTGTATACCTACCTCATCTTAGGCTACCTACTCTTGTCGGAGATCCAGTTTAAAATTATAATTTCTGCCTAACTCATGAGATACAAGGATAGCTGTAATACATGAATTAGATGTCTTCATTCTTTTCAGTTTTAGACAATAGAGTTTACTTAGTAAAATCTAATTTGAATTTATACAATTTTAGGAAAAAAAGGTAGCTCCATGTGAAGGCTTAAGATTTTTGACTATGACATTGGGTGTGTGTATATTTTAAAGGACAAGATAGTAGAACAACCGAACCCCATGACATACTCCATGTCATTATAAGTTAGTCACCAAAGTCTTGCTCACGTTTTTCAAATATCTGGTATTTTCTACATTCAAGTTAAATTAAGATAACGTTACAATTCAAAATAATGCTCACTTGGCCGTTTTTCTCCCATCAGAAAATAAGGCTGAGAGTACATTAAATGTAGAGATAATTTTAATTCACATATTGATGCAGTAAGAGGATGGCTCTTCTTTTCTTCCAACGGTGTATGCAAGTTAAAGGCTTCAATTCACAGGGAACAGTAGAGCTACTGAACAGTATAACCAAATTTTATTGCCTTCTTGCAGCCATGAAGTACAGTTTTTATAACCTAAAACTTTACGGAGACATACCATATTACCAGTTTGGAATATGGTGTTTTCTGACTATATGGGAAAATGTTGGCATACCTAATGTCTTGACTTTCTTGAAAGTGCGTGGCCATAATTCTATTTACATTACAGAAGAAGTAGTTAGCAAAAAATGGCAGAGAGAGGGCAGTCTAACCTCTTCAGTTGCTGAGTTTTATCTGCTAGTTCTTATAAAAGGAAAATTATAGTGGCTTGTGTGATGATCAGCTACCTATAATCAGTGTTCAAAGGCTAACTGGGAAGAATGAAACTGATTCTTGACAGTCTTGCCTGACTGTTTTGTTAATTTTCTAAGTGTCATAATGTGTGTGTGGGGGGTCTTTATCGAGCCTAAAAATCTGATGAAGTATACTCATGATAATCCATTCTGTTCCAAAAATATAAAACCCCGTTGCTCTTAATGTGCCCGACTTGCCCAATGTTTCAAATAAGGCTTATTGAGATCTCAAGGATGAAAGGTTGAAAAAGCCATACTACAGTTCCAGGTTCGTTTGGACTTTTGGTCCTTAGCCCATGAAGATCTCCTAGTAACACAGTCCTTTTCTCATGAAAGAAAAAAGGACACACCGGTATCTGTGGGTAGTTTGCACCATAAACACTGCATGTGATGGGCACTGTCCACAACATCAGAATTCCAAAGTCTGTATTTAAAGCTGTTCCTTTTGTTAAGGCATCTCTGCTTAAACTTGTTAAGGAGTGACTGAAATAGCTAGAAAATCCAAATAGCTCTACTCTTCTACAAAGCATTTAATCCACTAATAGGGAAAGGTTGTTCTGCTATGTCACCGTAAAAGACATCCTTTGAATGCATAAAAGTACACTTTTAATTCTGATTTCAATGAATAGAAATGGTAACAAAGAATGTTTTCCCAGTCTGCTAATCTGCACATTATATACATTAAAACTACCGTGCTTGTGTTAGATTCACAAAGATATTACAGAAATCAGCCTTTGCATTTTTGGTCTCTGTTTCATAGTGCTAAAAGAAGTTCTGTCTATCCTGTAGGAGCTGAGAATCTAGATCTTTCACAATGTGAAAGCCTTTTTGTGATAGCCTTTCCCCATGAGAGAACACAAATGTTTAGGGAAGAGGGGAAAAATTAATGCAAAGAGTTATTCAGAATTGTACTGCTCGCCTTTCAGAGTTGGCTTTCATCTTGAAGCCCACTGTTTAAATCCCAGACTTTTCCATATAGGCCCTTGGTTTTACTGAGATTATTGTTTTAGCTTTCACACCTTCTATGTATCAAACACTTCAACAATTCCCCTAAGTACTTTAGTTCCCTCATGCAAATTAAGGGCTTTTATTCTTTAAGCAATGTAAGCTTTATTTCTCTGGTGTGAAGCTTTATTTCTCTGGTGCAAGAAAGTATTAAGCTACACAAATAATTGGGGATTAAGCCAAGTCCCCTTTTGCATCTTTCTTGTTTTGAATCCTATTACATAAAATAACAGCCGTATGATTCAGTCTTTCTTTTGAATTAGCAGAAATACTTTTACCAGTAGAAGTCTTGAGCATAATATAAACTAATTTCATTGTTTTCTAAAATACTTTGTTTGTAAGATGGCAGGACTTCAATGGCCTTCACAAATGTGTCATGAAAATAACTGTGTTTTCATTATGGAGTGTTTAAAGGATGAGTAATCCTGTTTATTACATATAACTTGAATGTAGTGCATGTAGTCAGAATTAGTGTTTACTTGGTAGTTAATTATTTACAGCTATGATTTGAAAGGGAGTTGTTTCATTTTGCTATGTTCATCAATAATCTGGATAGAGGTGTAAGCACCTTTCAAACCTGTCCTGTTCCACAGGACAGGGATTTTAAAGTTGTTCTCTGCTTATATTTCTCCCTTTGAAATTATTGTTTTATAGATGTGCATTACAGACTTGAATTTGTGAACAACCAGTGCTTCCTGTATTTTTGCTGAGCTTTGAGGAACTTTAAATGCTTGAGGCATAGAGTTAAATGGTTTTGAGGTATTACAAGCATGGTGTGGGGAAGAATCTGGCAAATCGAGGAATTTGGAACAGTAGAGCTATGATCTGTAAATGTTTTATGATTTTGTTTCCTAGGAATCCTCTGTTTACAAGCACACGTAATGCTGACACACATTATTTTTCCATTTGGAGAAATTCTACTTGCAGGTCTGAAAGTGTAACAGGTCATGCCATAGAGAAGGTAGGGTCTGTATTTTTCACGCAGAGAAAAAAATTCTAAGAAGTGTAGGCAGACCATTCAAACAGGAAAATACAACAATTCAATGAGATCCTGCTGCGCTGTACAGTATTGGCTGCTAGTGAATTCCTTCAACACAGGAAGCTATGTCATTCTGGGAATATAAATAACTAGTTGAAAGATCATAAAATAATAACTGAATTACTTGACTGTGGACAGGTCTGATAGGAATCTTTATGCTCTCATCCCTCCCGTAATTATATCAGTATTTCCTATATAAGTTATAAGCTCAAATACTCGTGATAATAATCAAAAACCTGAATTAACACACTAGCTTAGAAATATCATCCCTTCAGACCACTTATACAGGAAAAATAGATGACGATTTTCCAACTCTGACAAGGTTCATTTCCTTTCTGTCAGGAAGTGTTCTCAAAGTTAGTTTTGCAGGGACACATGGGAATACATGCTGGCATCAAAGCCTTTCACTACCTGCACTATGAGTCCTAAACAAGTCTTAAGGCCTCTCTGATACAGCATATATGAATTTGTACAGGTGGATTACATGTGTGTCTTTTTTATTTTACCACTTAAACTACTTAAGGAAAAAAAAAACAACTGTACAGTCAAATGTTGAGTGCTGTTTAAGGCAAAAACTGAGTGCTTCTTTTATGCTGTGGAAAGGATCTCTCAAGAAAAGGGGTATTTTTTATTTTTTATCAACTGGTATTTCTTCCTCTTATGTTGAATATGAAACAAACAAACAAAATCAGATCCTGATTTAACAAAACGAGCAAATTTTTAACTAAATTATTTCTGTGGCCTATCCCTTAAGGATATGTTTGTGTTGCTTCCCTGAATATGGGTTTACTTTAGGAAATCCTGGTTTAGGATCTATATTCGGAAGACACTTGTGACAAGGTATAGGTATAACAAAGACAAGAACAGCTTGTATCCCTGGCACATTAACTGAGGAAGGCGTCCTTGCTAGTTCGGAGGGATGTGGACTTGAATGAGATGGTGATTTCTTATTCTCTATTGGTGCACTGTAAGCAGAAAAGAATGGGAATGCCTTTGCAAAACTTTTGAAATCAACTTGCACATTTTTGTGTATTTCAAGATTCTTTTTAACATTATAGATTGATTCTTGCTTGCCTTGGCTATATTCCCTTTCATTTTCTGGTGTGTTTCCTACTTGAGAGTTCTGTTTCAAAGTTCAGCATTGGGCCTGTTGGAAGGCCCAGCCTCTGCCTGACTGATGCTGTGTTTGCTTTTTTCCTATCTCAGTCAAGTAGTTTGTTTACATACACTTTGTATTACCACGGTTATATCAAGTCTGTCATCACGCCAAAATGAAGGCATTTGTATTTAGAAATCCTGAGTTTGCACAGAACATACTTTCTATCACTGCTTGGAGCTTTTGCTCCATCTTGCAGGTATTCAAAAAGTGAAGTCTTTCTCCATTTTTGAGCTGAGCATTTTGTGAGATCTGTAAGTAAGTTTAATGGGAAGAATAGCACAGGAACGTGTTGCATTAATGGCCTTCTGAAATCTGCTCTGTAAAGTGAGTGGGTGGGCAGGACAGTGGAGAGGCAATTACCTGCTTGTGAGAATATTGAGATAAATCCGCCTGTGGAGAACTCATCCCATAGCATAACAAATAGGAGACATCCACTTTCACCCACGTCAAGAAGATGAACTTTTTGGCAGGTTTAAGGACCGAAACGCTCTTGCAGGGGTTTGGCAGGAGTACGGCATGCCTTGACTTGGGTAACATGGGCGCTGCTCCCTCTTGCAGCGCTGGCAGCACGGCAGGAGGGGAGGGCAGGCAGCTGGCTGGCAGGTAGCGGAGGCGTGAAGGAGGCTGCCAGACGTCGCACGCTGCTGGGACAGATGGCTCCACGTCGATGCGGCAGCGAGTATGCCACCTCTCGAAAGGCAGGCCTGTGCTCTGCTCAGTATTCTTAGCCTGTGTGGAAGGCAACTGGCTTCAAAAGGTAGAGGGAAAAGACCGTGATATCTAAAGGTGAGATAATTGATGACAGCTGGGAAGTTGACTAGATGCTGTGGCCTAGCACTGTTAAAGATATTCAGGTGCATGAGTAGACACGTGACCCAAACCATCCTCAATAAATGAAACTGCTGCCAAAAAAATGAATAAAATCACTGTCTAGGAGAAGGATTGCAAACCCAGAACAGTTCCCTATCTCTTGTTCTGCCACTGACTTGCTATGTAATTTTCTGCAAATGCATGTAACGACTTTTGGGAAGCTGCTTGTTACCTGTGGAAAAACTGGTCTGTTATCCGGACATCAGGCTATTGACAATTGCTGCTGAAAATGTCCTCGGCCTTTTCCTGTTTGCTTCTCCATTGACAATTGGGAGTAAACAAAAAATAAAAATAAATCTCCGTATGTTACTGACCCTGTAATGAGTACACAATGTTATATCCTCTGCGTTAATTCTTAATAGATAACACTAATAAAACTGAAGTGCTGTATGCTAGATAAACTGTACAAGTAACTGGAGTTACTTGTCATAATGTTGCCTTAAAATGCTGTCTTGAGAATTATTACTGTACCAGGGTTGTGGTTAGGACTTCAGTTCTTAAAATATGTTCACTTTTTTTTTTTTTTAACTTGAAATTATTTACTTGCTTTGTGCTTGATAAATTTGCCTATTTGGGGGTGGACCAAATGGTCTTTCCAACATAAACCATTTTGTAATTCTGCAATTCTATTTCCTTTTTTTTAAAATCTGTGCTTTCTTTCTGTTTAGGTGCATTTCAGGTTTTACACTGTAAGAATAGTATTTCGGAATTCCGTTACCTCAGAAAAATACGAACATAAATATTGTGAATTGGAAATTGCTAGTGTGTGTGCAGATGAAAGAGGAGGGCAGTTCTTTAAGAATGTACCTTGCAATGCTTTTGTTATTGAAATTCATAGTTTATCTTTGCATCTGTGACCTAAATGGTTGTCCTTGCTATCTTTCGAGAAAATTCTTTGTGTGTTTTCTTCATTAAGTTCAAAATGACTTTCCCTTAATGTCATTTCCTTTTGCCTCTTGAAACCTTCCTGTTCTGCTGCCATTCCGAGGGGTGGCTTTGTGTTTTGTGCTTCTTTGGTTTGTTTGTTTTGTGGAGGTTTTCCGTGACAGAGTAGGCTGAAAGTCAGCGCGCCGAACTTTGATTCAGAAGAAAAGATCAAAACTAAATTTGGAAATGGGTCTAGCCAGTTTTTCTTGATTACACTTACGGTGGAAGCCAAATTTAAATGCGGTAGGTCTCCTGCTGATAACACTGGCCATAACCTTTAACTGCAGAGACTTTTATGTAAGATCACGATTCATTAGCAGTGAGTTCACGTGAAAGATGAGCTGTGGGTTTGAGGATGTGCTGTAAATGCTAATCCACTGATTTATTATTATTATTATTATTTTATTTCATTTTCCTCCCCCTTCTCTGAGTTCCCATAGAAGGTGCTACATTCTTCACGTTTGCTTTCTGTAGGCCAGAAGCCTTTCAAATATGAAATCTGCCCTTACAACTCCATTGATGAAAGTGGTGAAGTGGCAGCATTTACGGACACACACTAGTGAGATGCCTTGCGAATGTCTACTCTGTTCATAAAGTTGGTAAGTGTAAATAACCACTCTGTCAGACTAGTTTTGAAAATATACAGTGGTTTTTTTTTTGTTTTTGTTTTTTTTTTGGTTGGTGGTGTTTATTTTCTTAGGAAAGACTTTAAGGTATGCACTCCTACCCATTAATAAAAGCAAGTCAAGCATTTACATATATTCCTGTAGGGAGCTTGGCTCTATGAGGGCTTTTTTGTTTAAAGGAATTCCTTTCTGTCCCTTCTTTATAGCTCTTTCTGTCCATAACTACTAGATAGACCATTCTGGAAGATGTGTGGAACAGTAATGTGACAAATACAAAAGTACCTGATCGAAGAAGGTGACGGTGTCTGTGTGTATTCATTCAGTGGCCACGTGTCTTAATTTACCGTGCTAGGTGTGTACAATTCTGCTTCTTCACACTGATTTTGTCTGCAGCTTTGCTTTTGTCTGCAGCTTTGCTCGTAGTGTTTTGATTCCACGCTCCCACCCTGCCAATTGAGGAAATGATCACATTTCTGACAGTGCTAACACATTTCATTTTGCAGTGTTGGCAGAGTGCATCATGTGCTGAGTGGGAGCATTAGCTAGTCTTAGTGTAGCTGAAGTACACGTTGAAAGTGTGTGCTTAGCAGCCTTAGAGACTGTTTAAATGTTACATTTTTGTGTGTTTAAACTCTGTACGCTAAAGGATGTACTGTTTACTCTGTTTTTTAACTCCAGAGGTTTAAACTAGGATAAGCTAATGTCCACAAGTCACACAAGTTGCTTTTTGAAGCACACAGTGGTTGGAGAGGGCTTGATAAGTTTTTGTTTGTTACTTCTGTGGAGGAAAACTTGGTTTACTCTGTTATCTGTCATAATAATTGTAATTCTGATTATAAAACTAGTGCTACTTTTGAAGAGTCTTCTAATGCCAGAAGTAAAACTGGGAAATGCATATATCAGAAGTGATAGGATACCTTGAGCTGAAAGAAAATTCCTTCTTTGCTGAGAGTTTTTCAGCAACTGAGTAATGAAATAACAGGAAAAAAGGCCTTTTCCTAACTTTTGTGGCAGCTGGGTAGAAATGCAGACTTGTAAACATTACGCAATATTTGTATTAAAAAATGAAGGGAATTTGAAAAATCAAATGGTCTGTCCCAGTTACTTGTTTGCAGATGTTTTTTTATTCTTAGGAAAGAAGATGGCAAGTATGTCCTATTATATGTACAGGAGAAAACAGTAGTTGGGATAACTGAGAGGAATGTCAGTGATGAACTCCACAGACTATAGAGTAGAACACTGGTAACCTCTTTATTCATTCATTTTTTTCTGGTAGGCACGAGAAATCCGGTTTCCTTCCCTATCAGATAAACATTAGTTATTGGATAGAGCTAAGCATAACAGCAGACTGTCATTTTAAGTCTGGTACTGCTAAAAATCATTTTATTTTATTTATTTTATTTTATTTTATTTTATTTTATTTTATTTTATTTTATTTTATTTTATTTTATTTTATTTTATTTTATTTTATTTTATTAAACAACTCTGTAATATGTCATAGTATTGTCTCTTTTGCAATATACTTTTTCATGTATTTGTAGTAAGTCAGCCCTACTTACAGGAATCAAAGACTTTGTTGCTTGCAAATTAACGTGTTCCCTTCCACCAGCCTGCTTGGATGCACTTTAGTCGTCATAATGTAGATGCTTGCATGCTTAACTTTTGCTGTGGGACTGTTTTTATTAAGGTTAATAGAATTGTTCTTTAATAAGCTAAAAACTTGTAACATTATGAAAGTCCATAGGATCAGGACATAAATGTTTTAATCGGTGTCTGTAAGAGTAAATGATAACACTGCCTGAAAGTACTATTTTCTTTTCTGTAAAATACATATTAATGTAAAATATTTTAGTTCCTGTCTGCAAAATGGTAAGTGTAAATGCTTGCATAGTGTTCTAGACCTAATTAGTTTGGATGTTTGAAATTGACACTTGGGAAACAGTTTGCTTCAATTGGGTAAATATAGTTAAGGCTTTGTTTTGTTCTAAGTTATCTCTGTCAGGTCTGTGATAGCCTTAAGATTTTAAGGGCAGTACACTGTAACACCCTTTATTTTGGGAATTGTAGGAGGAATTCAATAATATGGAGGAATACAAAAGAAGTAGAAAACAAACACTGAGCACCTAAAGCCAACAACTCTTTACCAGTCCCCAGGCATATGATTTACACCCACATAGAACCCATTGACTGATTCAGTGGGCTGTATTCAAAAGTGAGGTGTAAAAGGTAGAAACAAATCATGAGCAAGCAAATCTGAATGTAAGCAAAGCTAAGGATGGCATAACCGCATTAATGAAATCTGAAAATGTTAAGAGATGACACTTTTCTGTAGTATTTTGGTTTAGTTTGAGAATAAAAATGCATTATTTACTGATACTCAATTAGAAAAGAATTTCATTATTCACGCTCTCATGAGCTAATACTATTTGTGCTCTGTGTTTAGCAGAGACGTTTCTTTTCAGTAATCATATAGATGCCAGTACAGTGAAATCTCAAGTGGCAACTCTTCATCAAAATTCAGGATTACACCAAAATTTATTTTTAAAATTTATTGATATGAATCTGTGAATGTTTGTGTAATGAACTCTAGACTGGAAATGTTCACAGAATCATATGTGTATGAATCTGAGCTGTTTACAACATGTTGAGTGCTTTTACTTTAAGGCTTTTGTCATATTAAAAGCTCAAAGTGATCTGGAAGAAGAAAAGTCAATTAGCATGAGATATCTGCATTACTCAGCGACTGAAGTCAGATGACTTCTTCTGATGGCACAGAATCCGACAGGTTCACGTTTTCGGTAGTTTTGCTGTCAAAGGCTGCAACAGGATTTCCTGAAAATTATGTGTTCCTGATGATAATGCAGATAGAGATTTAAAGAGTTCTGTGATGATTTAATAAGAATGTCTGGGAAAATATTTAATCTTTTCCATAAACTGTAACTTGAAAGCCAAAGCTTTTTTTTGTCTGTGCTGTAAAACATTTTCTCATGTGCCAGATTAACCAATTACACTTCTGTTATGTGTGAGAGGAAGAGGAGAGTTAAGTCCACAGTCTTTTGCTTGTTCCATCCACATAAATAACACCGCTGCTTAAGTACTACAACCCCGTATATAGAAAACTGGTAAATATTTGCAGCACAAACCATGATTTTTTTTAAGCTAGTAGGGTGCATTTCCAAGTCTAAGAATTAATTTTAGTCTACTTCATTGCTTGTTTAATCTGACATCTCTGTAGTTCCCCTTCTATAATCAATGGAAAATGATGGGTATTCACACAAGACATCCTAATTTCATAATAGACGCTTAAATGTGTGGGCTGATTCACCCCAGTAGCGCTACTTACTGCCTGCCTGTAGTTAATTGTACAGAGGGAACCTGGAAGATAATATGCCTGTTAGATAACATTATGTGGGATGAATCCTACTGTAGGTTTTGATTCCTAGCTCATAGCACTGTCTGTGGCTGTTGCCAAAGTAAACAGATCCTTAACATATGCTGGGGGCTAGGGACTTAAATTCAAAGACTCTTACATTACAAATTTATAAGCTTTGAATTCTGACTGGTTGCTGTTTGGTAGCAAATGCTGAGAGTAACCCACGTGTCTCAGTCTGGATTCTCTTACAGTCTGTACACAGTTACATCCTAGGCTGGCCTAGTACAGAGGAAGTGCGAAAACCAAGCTTTGGATCCTAGATTTGGCATTACACCAGTCTAAAAGAACAAAGGTTTGGATTAGGACCAGGAGATAATCCCACTGGTTTAGACACATAGTAAGTATGTAGCAGACCTCACAATTTAATACAGAATGAATCCTTGACACAATTTGTGTTATGGTTAAATTCTTTATTTTGAGATTTGCCCCCTTTTTGTAACACAAAATTGATAGAACGGGATGGCAAGTGCAAGGTCAAAACTATATTCAGACTGATTAGCCGTGTTCATTATGTTGAGCTGGAATTACATGCAGATAGATGCACGCCCATGTGAAAATGCATGCAGCTATGCTCTGTGTAGCTGCAAACCGGAGTAATTGTATCCTCACTATAGAAATGCATACATGTTCTATTAAGACAAAAGAATAAATTGGCAGACTTGTGCCTCTAGGAGTTTTTGTTTCTAACGTCTGTACAGAGGTTTTAATTTCAAAGAATATAGGTATCCACAGGTACACAACTGAAACTAAAATAGAAATCTTGCTGAAAATATGGTGCACACTACACTAACTTTTTGCAGTGGTAGGCAAAAGATCTGGTGAAAGAGATCATTTTTCTCATTTAAAATGACATATTTTAGGTCTGGAAACCCTCGTTTTTATAGGAAAAGAGCACGCTGGAGCTGAAATCTTTGGCCTAGAAGTCAGGAGAGCCGCGTTCTAGGCTAGCTCTGTCACTGGACAGAGCCATGCAATCTTTTTAGGGATGACTCACTCCTAACCTACTGTTCAGCTATTTTGGAACTGGAGACTGACTGCCTGTGTTTGTGCAATGCTCACAGTTGGCACTAATGACTGATATATTTTTAATTTTTTACAGGATTCAGAAGACAAGGTTGGACCTTCTCATGTACACCAACATAGCACTGGTGAGACATTTGGCTGTAGTTTTTGCTGGTATTCTTTCCCTGACAAACAACTTCTCTGAAAACACATTAAGAAATATCATCTGGGTGCAGGAACCTCATTAATCAGTTCCCAGACCACCTCAACTCACTTCTTATGGAATGTTAGGTTCTTCATGCTTAAGCTTCCACCAGAGCATCCCAGCAAATAAAGAAGCTGTTGGCATTGTCAGACTTTTGTGCTGAAAGCCAGGGATGATCTGGAAGAAGAGAAGAAACAGTCTTCTTGTGGCAATTAGAAGCATGGGTGAACATATTAAAATAAGATGCTTAAGATGGTCATCCCCCAAACATGTGTGCATGTTACGATACAGGTTGTAACTCTAATTTGCTGAAAGGAACATGGAGATTTGTGTTCTGTAAAGGGTGAATATGTTGGTTTTTCATTCTGGTTACATCTTCCTGATATATTCTGCTTGATTACAAATGAAGAGTTTGACATTTGAAGGCAGAATGTGTTGAAATGTGCCTGAACTAACAGTGAACCCTACAGGTTGTTTCTGTGCTACATCTCTCATTTTTAATATTGGTCTCTTTATATAAAACATTAAAGGATTCAAGAAAATCTGTTGACACAGTAATACTCATAAGTCAGTAAATTGTTTCCTGGATTTTTTTTTAAACAAAATATACCTATTATGAACTAGTCCAAGTTAAAGTAAAAATATAAACTATTGAAATATGACATCAAATAAACCTGACTTGAAAATTCAGTGGCTAAATACATCTGTGCCTAATTCAACCACATTGAAATTGCTCACTTTAAAGAATATCAAGTTAGAAAGAAAATATTTTCCAACTTTAGGCTGTTAGAGGACTGGTTTTACTCTAAGAGTCCACATACTTTGACTATGGTGGTTTTGTAGAGTTTCTTATTAGCTATGAATGCTATTCAGGAAAAGTAACTCTTACTAAAAATAAAAAAATATATATATATAACATCACAATTCCTACTAGACAGAAGCAAACACTGACTGAAGTGTGCCTATACTGTTCTCTTAAACATAGAGTACACTAGTTCGACAGGGTAGAAATTTCTCTTCAGGTAAGTTTTAGTTTCCTTGATTTACAGCAAGATATTAGTAAAAGGAGTTATGTGAAGAATAGCTATTGGCAAATGGTAGGAGACATGTAAAAAGATATATATATATATTTTTTTTTTTTTCCAAAGAAAAATGTTGATATTGTTAAAAACTGATGCACATCTTCCTGGCATGAAGTCAGAACAGAAAAAGAAAAGCTTGGAAACACATACCTGACACAGACACTTGGTTCCTCTTCATCTAGAGTTGTAATAGTTGGACATTGCAACTAAACACATACATAATTACTAATGAGAAGTTTTTACTTCTCTTTAGTACAATTTACTTTGTACAAACCACTCAAAATGCTCTAATATTCTGATAGTTCTTTAACTTGAATTTACTTGAATGGTTAAGCACTCATTTACAAAAATATCTGTTCTTTATTCAGAAGTATTTCAGAAGCTTTTCCCTAACTTTGCACCAGGGAACTATTTCGATCCTTGCTGATGTTAGACCCAGAGGACATTGACTTAGCATGTTCATTATTTAATAGCATTTAGAAGTAGATGTGTGGATGTAGATGTGTGGAATTTAATTAACCAAACTGGAATTCAGCCAAAGTTCAGATCAACAGTTGCAATCTTGCAAAAAGCACAAGGGGACTTCTAATAGTTAAGTGGACTGAGCTTTCATTTTAATGTCACCTTGACAATTGTGGTGTAAGCAATACAGTGCCTACTTTTCTAGGGAATTCATTCAGTAATATTGTGAAGGGTGGACTATACCACTTACCAAATTACTAGACATTACTTCTGGCAGCATTCTGTCTGTTTTTTTGCATCTTTCATGTAGGCACCAAGTTCAACCCTAGTATTTGAAAACAGGCAAGGGTACAGCTTGGAGCAGCAGAGCTGCAGGCTGAGCATGGTGCAGTTGCATGCCCACTAGAATTTCTAATGTGCTGATTTTTTTTCTTTTTCTCTCTTTTTTTTTTTTTTTTTTTGCCTCTGTTATTTGTGTAGTTGTATAATAGGCTTGGGAAATTAATTGAGCTTGGATCATGAATGTAAAATAAGCACTTCATTTTTTTTATATATATATTTATTAGCCTATTGTAAGTGGGCAGAAATATTCATCATTAGTGTACTGAAGAGAATGACTGCTGACAGCAGTTTTTATATGTACAAGGTATGATTTATAGAACCAAATTCTAATCTGTTCTTTATACTAGCCTCAGGCAGTACACTTAGTCTGCAGTGAAGTGAAATATTTTGGTGTGTCCTTGTAAGTGATCTTTAATAAGCATATGACACAATCTGTCAGAAGTACCTCCTTGTTCTCTGGAAAGGGGACAAAATTCAGATACAAAAAGTAGTAATCTTGACATGTTTCTTGTTTGTGTAAGGTATCTTGGAATCCTGGCCTTTTATCAAAAGTCCACACACCCTAATAACTCAGGAATAGCTATTAATGGAATTCTGAAGTGTCTATAATGTAAACCTATCACTTATTAATATAAAATAGTAACAATTTCATTAGCTTAGAAATCAGTTTCTAGTTCAATTAACGTGTATTACAGATCCTATGAGTCCACTTCTGGCTCTAAGCACAATTCGTCTAGGAATAACCTAGGTTAGTATGTTTTGCTTTCTTTCTGTGTAAACCAGTAAAGCTAAGTGTTGTGTGTGTTTTTTTTGAGCTTTAGCTTATGTGAGTACAAGGGGAAAGAGAAGAAAGTTTTCTGTGCAACTGTTATGAAGCTGTTAAATGAAATGTGCTTTTTCCTGAAAGAATTGTCCCCTGCTTTCTGTTTCCTTCTCTTTCCCTTTGCTGTCAGGGCAGACATTGCATAGAACGCTTGTTCCACAGAGTGCAGTCTCAGCATAGGTTAGGGGTTGTAGCAGAGTTGACAAAGGACTCTTTGTCTTGTTACAGTGAGGCAAGGCTTCTACTGCTATAAATAATGCATATTTTAATTGGAAACTGCACATAGCAATACCTGTCTCTACAAGCTTGTTGATTTCTGTGTAATCCATTAGGGGCAGATTCTGTTTGCGTACTGAACTGAACATACAACACATTCCCCAAATTTGTGGTTGGTTGTTTCTGTTAGTACTACCTGTGCTAATGAGTTCCTATGTACAAATCGAGACAAATGCCATATCTAGCTAACCATCTGGGAATTTCTGTCACCATATATTATGAAAGTTGCCTAAAACACTTTGCTAAGGCAATTACAAGACTAGGTACACATTTTCCTTGGTCAATAATAATAGGATCATGCATTGGATCAGTTGAAAATAAATTTAAGTATTAGTAGGGGATGAATTATACAACAGATAATAAACATGCTTATTTCTTGCCAGATTAATCTGGGATTAATCACATTGTGCCTGATGTTAGCCGCAGGTTTAGGCTTGTATGCATAGCTTCTGTGGTGAGGCTCATACATGGCTGGAACACTAATCACATCTCAGAGGATGAACACAACTTTTTCTACTGTTTTAATTAAATTGATTTAAAACCACACCTTAAGGCCTGTTCTGAACAGAACATCCTACCAGGTTTAGTGAAGATGCCTGACAGTTACCTGAGTGGTGCATAAATGTGGGAATACCGGTCTGTGTGAAGGCTATTAGATTGCTTTCGGCTAGATTGATTTTTTTTTATTTAATTTGGATCATTTCTATGTACATGTCATTACCAATCTTGTTTTAAACTGATTTAACGGTGTTAAGAGGAATTTTGCAGATTCTTTTTTCTTCTTAATTTCATATATATATATATATATTTGAATAGTGAGTGAGCCCCCCTTCTCCTTCCTCAACTTGCAAAACTGTAGAAAAAAGGGGAGGCAGATTAGGGTGGCCCATAATACCAGTTCAGTGCCAATGTTATTTTATTACTGTCCAGTTTGGGCAATCTCAATCTCCTGCTGTTTGTGGACAAGCCTGAGAAACATGAACTTAAGAGTGTTTCTACCAGGAATAATTGAGGATTTAAATAAGGCCTAAATTTGTAGCACTCCTAAGTGACATGGATTCCTTCCAATAGTAACTGAAGGCTGATTCCAGGAAATGTTGTAGGAACACTAGACCCTAAGCTTGGAGTGCCCACAGCAACCCCATGTCCTAGCTTTGGTATGAATTGAGCTATAGGAGAGCTGGGTTACCTCAGAGTCCAATCCAGATGTTGACCCTGAGGAGGGAACCTTTAAGTTAAGGACTTAAGTTGACTGGAATTTGCTCTGACAAAACAACAACAACCAGGGAAAGTCCGAGGAGCCCTACTTTAATGTGTAGATACTAGTGTTTAGATACCAGATGGCAGTTCAGATCACTTCTTTGCACAGGAGAACAGTGGTTCGTATTCTGTGTTTCCTATGAGAGTGCAGAAGACGAAAGCCCTTTGGAAATGGGCTTATAAAGTACTGCAGCAAAAGCGTTATACACATGCATGAAGATATCAGGGATCTAATTTCTATTCCTGAGAATTTTTAGATCTTCCATGTTAGACAGAACAGGAATTAGTTCTCATCATTATGCGGTGTTTACAGTCTCATGTTGGCTAACAGTTACTGAATTAGTCTCTTTGAAGCAGTGGTTTCAGGTGTTCTAGCATTATGGTCAGGACCCTTCCTTTAGAGGTGATGGCAGTATCATCAGGCAGAAGAGTTGTTGGTTTTTTTAATTTTTTCTTTCACTTGAGGTTGCAAAGCAAGTCAGGGCAGGAGCTAGAGAATCACAGACTCACTGAGGTTGGACAGGACCTCTGGAGGTCATCTGGCCCAATCCCTCTGCTCAGGCAGGCCCACCTAGAGCCAGTTGCCCAGGACCATGTCCAGACAGCTTTGGAATATCTCTAATGATGGAGGCTCCACAACCTCTTGGGGCAATCTGGAAAAATAGTTCTGTCTCATGCATCAGCCTTTTCAAACAT